ATGAATCTGCTGCTTTGCTTTCTGTATGACACATGCTTTGTCTGTATAGATATCTTCTGCTTTTTATTACTGGTATGTGTTTTATATGAATCTACTGCATTGCTTTCTGTATGACACATGCTTTGTCTGTATAGATATTACCTGGTTTTTATTGCTGGTATGTGTTTTATATGAATCTGCTGCATTGCTTTCTGTATGACACATGCTTTGCCTGTATAGATATTTGCTGGTTTTTATTGCTGGTATGTGTTTTATATGAATCTGCTGCTTTGCTTTCTGTATGACACATGCTTTGTCTGTATAGATATCTTCTGCTTTTTATTACTGGTATGTGTTTTATATGAATCTACTGCATTGCTTTCTGTATGACACATGCTTTGTCTGTATAGATATTACCTGGTTTTTATTGCTGGTATGTGTTTTATATGAATCTGCTGCATTGCTTTCTGTATGACACATGCTTTGCCTGTATAGATATTTCCTGGTTTTTATTGCTGGTATGTGTTTTATATGAATCTGCTGCAGTGCTGTCTATATGACACATGCTTTGTCTGTATAGATAATTCCTGGTTTTTATTGCTGGTATGTGTTTTATATGAATCTGCTGCGTTGCTTTCTGTATGACACATGCTTTGTCTGTATAGATATCTTCTGCTTTTTATTACTGGTATGTGTTTTATATGAATCTACTGCATTGCTTTCTGTATGACACATGCTTTGTCTGTATAGATATTACCTGGTTTTTATTGCTGGTATGTGTTTTATATGAATCTGCTGCATTGCTTTCTGTATGACACATGCTTTGCCTGTATAGATATTTCCTGGTTTTTATTGCTGGTATGTGTTTTATATGAATCTGCTGCAGTGCTGTCTATATGACACATGCTTTGTCTGTATAGATAATTCCTGGTTTTTATTGCTGGTATGTGTTTTATATGAATCTGCTGCTTTGCTTTCTGTATGACACATGCTTTGTCTGTATAGATATCTTCTGCTTTTTATTACTGGTATGTGTTTTATATGAATCTACTGCATTACTTTCTGTATGACACATGCTTTGTCTGTATAGATATTTCCTGGTTTTTATTGCTGGTATGTGTTTTATCTGAATCTGCTGCATTGCTTTCTATATGACACATGCTTTGTCTGTACAGATATTTCCTGGTTTTTATTGCTGGTGTGTGTTTTATATGAATCTGCTGCATTCCTTTCTATATGACACATGCTTTGTCTGTATAGATATCTTCTGCTTTTTATTGCTGGTATGTGTTTTATATGAATCTACTGCATTGCTTTCTATATGACACATGCTTTGTCTTTATAGATATCTGCTGGTTTTTATTGCTGGTATGTGTTTTATATGAATCTACTGCATTGCTTTCTGTATGACACATGCTTTGTCTGTATAGATATTTCTTGGTTTTTATTGCTGGTATGTGTTTTATATGAATCTGCTGCATTGCTTTCTATATGACACATGCTTTGTCTGTACAGATATTTCCTGGTTTTTAATGCTGGTGTGTGTTTTATGTGAATCTGCTGCATTGCTTTCTATATGACACATGCTTTGTCTGTATAGATATTTCCTGGTTTTTATTGCTGGTATGTGTTTTATATGAATCTGCTGCATTGCTTTCTATATGACACATGCTTTGTCTGTATAGATATTTCCTGGTTTTTATTGCTGGTATGTGTTTTATATGAATCTACTGCATTGCTTTCTATATGACACATGCTTTGTCTGTATAGATATCTTCTGCTTTTTATTGCTGGTATGAACTGCTAGGATGAAATTTGAAAAAAAGGCAGGATGACAATTTATGTAAAAAAAGTCAGGATAAACTAATGAAAAAAAAAGGCAGGACCGATTAGAGTGAAAATAAAAAGGCAGGACAGAGATTACAACTAAAAATAATGCAGACTTAAATGCTTCTAACTCTAGGCTACTGGCTACTTTGTTTGGTTAGGAATTTTACAACCTTATTGTTCTAGGAAAAAACGAATATAGATGGTAATTTGTGGGAGATAAAATTGAGAATGGAAATGGGGAATGTGTCAAAGAGACAACAACCCGACCATAGAACAGACAACAGCAGAAGGTCACCAACAGGTCTTCAATGCAGCGAGAAATTCCCTCACCCTGAGGCGTCCTTCAGCTGGCCCCTAAACAAATATATATACTAGTTCAGTGATAATGAATGCCATACTAAACTCCAAATTGTACACAAGAAACTAAAATTAAAAATAATACAAGACTAACAAAGGCTAGAGGCTCCTGACTTGGGACAGGCGCAAAAATGCGGCGGGGTTAAACATGTTTATGAGATCTCAACCCTCCCCCTATACCTCTAGCCAATGTAGAAAAGTAAACGCATAACAATACGCACATTAAAATTCAGTTCAAGAGAAGTCCGAGTCTGATGTCAGAAGATGTAACCAAAGAAAATAAACAAAATGACAATAATACATAAATAACAACAGACTACTAGCAGTTAACTGACATGCCAGCTCCAGACTTCAATTAAACTGATTGAAAGATTATGTCTTCATCATATGAATATCAGGCACAATCCTTCCCGTTAGGGGTTTAGTATCATACCATCATAACATATATGAGAAGAACATAACCCGTGTCATGAGAGAATGGTTGTACAAATTTATGTTCTTTTGATGGTACTAAGTATTGGTTGTTTGAGATGGATACTAATTGATGTTGGATTTTGTAGAGCATTGTGATTGATGCAAGATTTCTTCTTTGTTCTTGTGTCAGCCAACTTAGATGTTCCAGCATGGCTGTTACACTACATTGGTAGCTGTATTGATTTAGTGTATACCTGGCAGCTCTTCTCTGGATCAGTTCAATTTTATGTATTTGTTGTTTCTGCCAGGGGTCCCAGACAATTGCAACACTACAATATTCTATTTTTGGTCTGACATATGTTTTGTATTCAAGTTCTTTTGTTTTTACGCTGTTGGTTTTTACACTTCTTTTAATAAATCTTAATGATGCATTTGCTTTATTTGTGGTATAATTTATAATTTTATGTGAGTTCCATGTCAGGTCGTTTGTAATGCCAAGATATGTAGCTTTGTCTGTTGATTTTAATATGTGATCATGTAGTGTGTATTTAAAGATGATTGGTTTTTGCTTTCTTGTTATGTGGATGGTTTCACATTTGTCTGGGTTAAATAACATTAACTATTCTTGGTCCCATTGTTCGAATTTATGTAAATCTGATTGAAGGGTGTGGCATTCAGTAAGTGATAATATTGTTAAATACACAATGGTGTCATCTACAAAGAGGTGAACATTACTTTTGAGGTTGTCTGGCATGTCATTAAAGTAAATTAAGAAAAGACATGCACCAAGAACAGAGCCTTGAGGAACTCCTGACAGAACAGGACAGCTATTTGATGTGTGACTGTCAACTACCACTTTTTGAGATCTGTGAGATAACCATGCCTCTATCCAGTCTGATGTTTTATTGTTTATTCCCATGCGTTTTAGTTTTAAGATAAGTCTTTGGTGGTCCACTTTATCAAACGCTTTGGAAAAGTCCATAACAACTATGTCAGTTTGTTTACCATTTGCCTTATAATCAAGTATTTGTTGTATGAATGTTAGTAGTTGTGTTTCACAGCTAACTTTTGATCTGAACCCATGCTGCAGTGGGTACAGTAAATCAAGATTATCTAGATGTTTCATTATAGATGATACAATTATGTGTTCTAACGATTTACTAAGAATACAGGTTAGGGAGATAGGCCTATAATTTTCAGGTTTAGATTTTGCTCCTTTTTTGAATACTGGTGTAACCATGGCCTCTCTCCAGGCATTATAGGCCATGGTTCTACATTTAAACCACTACATTGGGTGCTGTTGGTAACCTGGGAAATCAGTTTATAAAGATAACTCTGACATTCCACTCAACTGATTGCCAAGACATTTTGTCTCAAAAGATAAGATCTGGTAAATATATTCAGGACCATAGTCCAGCCTATGTTGGTACCAGGTTCCAATAAGGGACACAATCCAGACATCAAGTACATGTACAGCCATTTTGAAAAACTGCATTTGATAATTTCCATAAATTGTCCAAATGATAATTTTAAGATAAGATGCAATGAGTGTTAATTTCAGGTTCATAAACAATTTGAGAATAAGAGGCCCAAAAAGGAATATATATACATTGCCTTAATTTAAGCTGTACCATTTGATCTTAATAGATTTTCATAGATATTTTGTATTCATGACCATGTAAAGACAATTGGGCTTTAATGGATGCAAGAGTCTCCAAGGAACCGTTTCAGCTTTTGGGACTAAGAAATTTCGCTTATGACATCATTTAAAAGACGTCATAGTCAAATTGTGGAATCAAGGCTCTCCTAATATTCCCTTTTTCTGAAAAGCCTTTCCTCTGATGCTTAAAAGTGTGATTAATAATGACATCTGGCAATGTTTGTTTTTTTGTGAATTTACTGGGCCAAATTAGCCTCAACATGTACCTTATCCTTCAATAGAGCCTATCAAATATCTGCATTCAACACCAAACTCCTAATTGACAATAACCTTGAAGATATAACGGTTGAAGAGGTTCCTGGCTGGGATCAGATCATTTACATGTTTGTTTTAGGTTTGTGCCGAAATTTTTTAGTTTTTTTGTTTTAGTGGTGGTCAAGTGGTTAAAGTAGTTCATCTACTGTACAACTAGCCTGTCAACACTGAAGTTGTGAGTTCAAACCCCACACATGTGTTCAACTTCAATCTTAATTGACATTGCTGTCAGTTTTCTTACTGATGACTGGTGATTATCTCTGGACCCTCAAGCTTCCTCCATCAATAATGAGTGTCTACCATGATATAGCAAATAGTGCTGACAGTGGCATTAAACAACAACAATCAATCAATTTATTTTTTGTTGCATTATGTTATCAAATCAATTGTTTGGGTGGGCTGGTTCAAATTATCTGTATGGACTGAAAATAAAGTAACTATATGATAAATTTAATATTTTATTCTCTAACAACTTGTTACTGTGAACAACTAAAGATAAATAGAATAACAGCATAATGTAAAAGGAAGAAAAATGTTTACCACAAGCAAAAATCACCTGGGTATTTATAAATGAAGAAATGATGAATAAAGTTTTCATATCACAACCGTATCATTTCAAAGAGAACAAAATATTCAAAAAGAAAATCTTTATATATTTTTTGTGTATAAATAATCTTTCAACTGGACAATGGTGTTTCAAAAAATACTTTAAAAAAAATCAAAAAGTAAATTTTCTTTTATCAATATATTTAAATGGAATATCAAGAGTATCGTAATAAATTTATCACATTAGCAGAAACAGTAATATATAAAGTATTTCTCAAAAAAAAATAGAGAAATAAATTCTGAGTAGACATAAATGTAAAAATACGTACTTCAATCATGCAATCAGAATATTGAACAAATACTTAAAACAGATGGACCAAATCTCTCACAAGAAAGATACATGTATATAAATAGAAATTTTAAATATATAAAGGACGGATATCTAAAAATAGCATCTATCACAGTCAATTCTAATATAAGCAAGGCAAAAATATTTGATTTAATATGTATTTCCACACCTGGTAATTACCTCCCTTTCAAAAGTGTTCTAACTCTATCAGCCACTTGACATTTTGTCACCTTTAACCCTAAAATTCAACTATAAAGTAATCCATAATATAATAAGGGTACTTTTCATCTTATCAGTCTTAAATAATTGTTTTAAAGAAAATCAGAATAGATATTGTTGTATTTTTGAACTTAAGACATAATATAGCAGTATTATCATAAACAATGTTAGTCAGTGTAATTTTACACCAACAGTACATATCAATATACTTTTCTTTAAATTGGAAGTATCAATCAATTTAAAAAAATCTTTACCAAAATAATCAATCAATTTAAAATCAAATATGAAATACATTATGATAGCAATCTACAATTAATATAGAAATATAAATATGATAAAAAAAAGTTCTATTTTGTAGTTTCATCTACCCATAGTCTACTTAATGTCACAGAGTAAAGCAACCCCACGTAGAACCCAGTGATCTGGGTTTTGTGTGGTCTTCAGTACTACTGTTGCAATGTAGGTCAGATCAGTACGTCTCGGCTTCTTGTAGATTGGACATTGGTACATTCTACTGTCTCCTCCACCGGTGCTGTTAATGGCATAAATATGAATGACTGGCATCGACTCAAACAGAATCTTTGGTTTGGGTTCAATTAATTTGCATCCTCGTCTATCCCATCCTGCGCCCTCTAGGTACAATCCATACACAAATACACCCTCATTTGGTGGTGTAGTTATATCGTCTTTCATGTTGCGTGTGACATCATTGTGAATGATGACTGTATCCAAAGCCCATCCTTTATGTGCACGAGTCACTTCCTGTGAAAAGTAATAATAAATATATAACTTTAAGAAAGGTAATCACTGACTGATCTGTACAATACATTAAACAATGGAAACAGAGGGATATGGTGTGTAAATTCATGATACAAAATACCTATACTAACATTATAAATCCAAAGGCAAAGAAACAGCTCTTTTGTTGCTGTTCATCATCTAAAAGACTTGGTGGGCCTTCAACATAGAGCAAAATCTCACACTTCAATGCAGGTGCAATAGGGTCCATAGCTTCTGTCAGAGTAGAGTTTATTGGTTTACCACAGCAATGACAATATGATTTATTGGATTACCACAGTCATAATTTTTTGATGGATTAAGCCACAGAACTAATATATTTATTTGAAATTTTAATTTTGATCACTGTTGGTGTTTTATCTTACACTTACTATCATTTAAGTACGACAGATGTGAAACAGGTATATATTTAGACTGAATATTCTTGATCTGTATATATTATTTAAGTGTTGACACTATTGTTTATTTTGTTAAATTATATTACTGATATTATTCATTTAGATGTGTGAATAGACAACAAAACTTTTACTGGATAATAAACAAGTTTACATCATTTCTTTACATTAATAAAGTAACAGCCAAACTGCAACAGAGCACTTTCAACATTTTTAATTTTAGTGCCAATCTGCCTAAGAATCAGAAAACATGACAAACAAAAACCTGCTTAATTTTACATTAATTTAAGTTCAGAATGTATAATGGTTCACAAATATAACATTCATTTCCTTTTCCTGTTCTGGTATTTCATGAATATAATTTGGTTGAAATGCACTAGAAATTAACAATTAAGGGGAGCTAACTCCGTAATTTGCTATCATTCTAACCAAAAGTTATCTAGAGACTGCTCGAATTACCAGACAAGAAGAAACCAAAAACCTACCATTTCTAACTCAGAAATTCAATGAGGGTTACTTCAAAAATGGATGGTTAGGTCGGCAGGTTTTCTTCTAACATGTTTTTAAATTCTTCTAAATTGCCTGATTCTTACAAAGTCTGGCACTTAAACTTTAACTAATGAAGATGGTAGATTAAATGCAAGATTAAAAGAAATGAAAATGATTAACTAACCTGTCTCATAGCTGTGAGGAATCCTTGTGCATTGAAGAAACCAGTCATCCAGAAACAGTTGGGACGACCATCAAAACACCAGGAATGGAACTGTGTGTTACGGTCTATCAATTCTGTAAACCAGAATCCTAGAGTACTAGAATCCCAAGATATCTAAAAAATAGAAAGTTATAGATTGTATTACAAAAATTTTCAATACATAATAATAAATCGATCTGTTCCATAAAAAAACATGTTCAAACATTTTTAAACGGCAGGATAGTTGGAAATACATATACCTTAAACAAAACTGAAAACTGTTCAATTCAAATGTAAACCTTTAAGAGAGTTTTCACACAAGTGATACCTCAACTTCCATGGAAGATTTTTTATACTTTGTTTGTTTATTGCATTGAAAAAAGATAATTATTCTTAGGTTCTGAAATTTTTAGTTCTAACTAAATATTATGGAAAATACCAATGTTAGTTATCATGCCTTTACATAAGAGTGTAGAAATACATGTCCAATTTTACAAATGATATAATTTTCTCACCTTTGCCCAGGCTTTTGGTATCCTAGCATCATACATATCCAGTTTTTACTTATGATATAATTTTCTCACCTTTGCCCAGGCTTTAGGTATCCTAGCATCATACATAGAATCTAAAGCATCTCTCAGATTCTCACTCATGATAATGGTTCCATCAATGGCTAGTTTCAAATCGTGAAGTGTGTTACGGACAAGGGAAATGACTTTCTGCATTCTATCTATTTCTTGACGAAGGAAAATGTTCATTGGCTGTAAAATTCCCATCTTGACAAGACGTGCCTTGACTTCGTGTGGAATATAATCATTGGGAAGTTTCTCTAACATGTCGTCACAAAGTCTGTTAACGATAGCTTCACGTGTCTCACCACCACCAGAACTACTGTCTTTTGGTTGGATCTCTAAGATGGTGTCCAATATACCTTTAGCTGTCTTACTCTGGTATCTGTCAAACAAAACAACAAATCATTTAATTTTTCTGTAAAAGAATGTGTATATGTAAAGATAACTAACAGAATCTGCATATATCTGTTTAATGAAATACATGCACTGTAGGTATATCTCAGTCCCTTACTAGGTACACCATTATCAGTGACATAATTCTTTATTAGTTTCTTTCCCATTTTTGAGTAGAATTTGTCTTATTTTAAATGCAGTTATAGCTGAAAACCTGTCTAAAAATGTTTTCATTATAAAATTACTTTTTTTCAGCAAAAGCAAAAAAAGTATTAAATTCAAATGAAATCCTCTGTCCCATCAGTCTGAGTTATTAAAGAAGACTCCATCATATCTTCATTAGCTGTTTATTCATCATCCTTGCCTTTGACTAGTATGTATATCTAAATGTTAAAATTTAGCATTCAAATGATGGCCAAACTATCTAATTTTCCCATTAACAAAATGTAAAGACATCTGAGGTGAAGTATTATGAACTTACGTAATATCAGCATTAGGATGAAGACCAAAGACCTCTGGCGTATCTGATGCAGCTAGTGCATTAATGTATTCATGCCATTCAGCGATCTTATTACATTTAGGTATGTTATATCCTTTGTAGAAGACAAAGTTTGGTGTAAACATGTTCTCTCCAAACCATACTTTACAGAACGTGTTTAAAAGTCGTTTGTCAAAGTCATCAGTTACACGACCACCATATTGAATTTCACCAAACATGTATCGTACACAACTCCAGTTTACTCCCTAAAATAATTAAAAATAACAGTATATTATTACTATAGAACATATCTATCAACTATCTAGACCTTTTTTTGCTACTTATTTAAACCTTATTCTATGCAACTATCAAAAGTACTTCAATTACAAGTCTTTAAGCGTCCAACCTTGGAATAGGGAAATGTCAAAATTTCATTCATGAAATTACACTTGGCTGAAAGCTGTCAAAACTGTATTGCTCTGGGTGTTAACATACTGTCTGGATTACACAGCAATTTCGAATAAAAATTTTAAATTTAGACAAGTTTCTGTTATTTTCAATGTAAAATACTACTGTAAATTCAGAAATTATTGTGTACATTTATTATTGCGATTTTTGAAGAAAGGGCTAAAATGCGAGATTAATTATTGCGATTTCAGGAAAATCTGTATACAGATAAAGTAGCAGATATCATAATGCTAGTTCTTATTATTGCGATCTTCATCCACTCGCATTATTCGCATTAATAAAAACTTCGCAATAATTTCTGAGTTTACAGTATACTGACCTTTTTGATATCCATGTCATCCAAATGATTCTGTACAAACTGTACACTAGCATTGAAATCTGATGCATTAAACTCATATGGGATGTTCCAACCAAGAGGTCCAAACTTCCTACGTTCCTGGACTATAGTATGCATAAAGGAGACTCCATACAACATAGGTTTCCATTGTGGCATGTTAGAAATATCAAGGAAATCCTGAGTAACAGCTGCATATGTTCGTTTTAATCCAGCTTTCACACCTTGTGGAGGTTCATTGGTGAATTTGATTGATATCTGAAATAAAAACAATAAATTCTAAAACAACAAACCTTACCAAAGATTTTTTTTCATTGTCAACTATTTGAACTGTTTCAACAATATCAAAATTTTAAAAATAGACACCTTCAGTCTATTGTGTGGTTTTAATTTGTGCAATTGAAAATTAACAGCAGAGAAGACATTTTTTTCAAACTTATAATTCTTTATTATATCTATGATGGGGAAAAAAAACCATTCTAGTTATAAATCAACTGAATGCTGATACCATCAATTGAAAATTAAGAAATGTGCAATTTCGTGGCAAAAGTGTGATAAAATTTATTTTGAAAAGCTTTTAACTTCTGGACCTAAATTTTACATTCCAAAGTCTGTCATGCTTATAATGCATGAAACTGTTCATAGCAAATGGATAAAAAATATCTCAAAAATCCTCCAAAATTCTCATGATGAAATGAGAGACTTTCAAAGTATAAAAGATTATATATAATCCATTTGGTTAAGAACTTTAAATTTAAAGATATTTAACTTGTACTCATATTTTGATCCTAAGCACTTTTCCCACATGCTTAATTCAGTCAAGTTATAGAAACTAAATATGAAAAAAGCTACCTATTTTTTTTTAAATGTCAACTATCTGTTAGCAGGTGTGTTTAATCATTATTTGAAAATTACCTGTAAGAAATTGATTGGGAACTTAGGATGGACTTCTGTTGTCACCCAAAGTCGGAAATCCTCATGCATGTGTTCTGTTTCCACAATCTGGTCAAATATTTCGTAAATATAGTCTAATGACAAATGACAATTTTGCAACAATAACCAGCCTCCATTTGCTATCATCTGTTGCATCAGACGACGTGCATGTACCTCCTGACCTTGACCCATAGATATGTAATGGTAGTCTGGAAAGAATATTTTAAATAAAAACATGAATATTCATTGCCTTCATTTTAGATTACAGATTTCACACAAAACAAGCAAAATAAAAAATATTACATTTACCTGAATGTCACAAGAATAGAAACTGCGACGTATACACATATACACTTTAATAATTTAGATCAATTAAAGTCTGCCACTTCCATTTATTTTCGTATTTTTCATCACAGATTTCACTTTGTAAAATAATATTAAAATTTTCTTAATATTCAAACTTCTGAGGTATGACAAATAGTAAATATCAAAACTTCAATTCAACTTGCTAATTTGACTTTTAATAAGTTTAATGTGTGCAAGAAAACAATTGTTTCAATGACACAAACAGTATTTTGTTGTATACAAATAATAAAAAATCAGCAACTTTTGGGTTTTGTATTGCCGCTAGGTCTGTCTCATTGTGTATACGCCATATCTCTCTTCATCCACATAAACTGTTCGAGTCATAAAATTACAAAATAAACACCCAGTAAAATATTCGTAACCAACAAGTAAAACAAATTTACCTAGTTTATGTTTCTTTGCCAATGCCTCAATATTATTGGTAGGATCCGATCCCATGGATAACAAACAGACCATAGCAGTTCTAGGTGAACTCTCATACCACATCTTCTCCAAATCTAAAATCACGCCCTCAGCATACTTATCACCAAGAGTGTCAGCAATATACTTCCTGGCCTGGGCCATGACACGATCTGGACACCAACTACGTACTAACAGTAAACGTCTGAAAACATCAAGGGAGTTGTTGTAGCCATCTGGAATGATCTCATCCTCTGGAGCCTCTTTGTCAAACCACTGTTTCCATTGTTTCTCATTTCTGGTTACCTATTATAAAAATATACATATTAACTATTAACTTGATCACCAAGATAAACTGTGCAATCTCTTACAAAAGCTCTGGACACCTTTTTTTTAACAACTTTGATTAAACATTTGACAAACATGACTTAAAATAAAGATTGAATAGTTCACTTCTTTTTCATACATTCAATCAAATTCATCTTTGATTAATATATCCATCTTTTTCATAATTTAAATTTACCCAACACTTGAATCTATAGATATGTTCCAAACCGATGAAATGATATTTGCACTTCACCTCTGACACTGTGAAAACAAGAATTCATGCCACACCCTAACTTTTGATTTAAAGTATCAGAAAGCAGAAAGAAGGCAAATCTAGATTCCAGTTAACAGAAAGAAGGCAAATCTAGATTCCAGTTAACAGAAAGAAGGCAAATCTAGATTCCAGTTAACAGAAAGAAGGCAAATCTAGATTCCAGTTAACAGAAAGAAGGCAAATCTAGATTCCAGTTAACAGAAAGAAGGCAAATCTAGATTCCAGTTAACAGGACGAAGGCAAATCTAGATTCCAGTTAACAGAAAGAAGGCAAATCTAGATTCCAGTTAACAGGAAGAAGGCAGATCTTAATTCCAGTTAAAAAATAGGGAATAGAACACCATAGGTTTAATTTATTAAACTATTAATCAACCTTTCAAACTGATATCCTTCAATTTATATAAAATAAAGCCTACCTGTTCAGTAATACCAGAAAACTGATGTAAATTACTCAGCTCTACCAAGTTTAACCAGGTCAGATCCACAATCCATTTATGTGGTTTGGGCTGTACTACATTCAAATCCAAGGAGGCACCACCTAAAATCATATACACACATAATTAAACCACTGATTCATTCATTGATTTATCAACCGATCAAAATGAGAGGAGTAGGAACATTAAGGTCGTCATCAGGCCCATAAAATGAAGTATTACACAATCATATCAATCTTGGATTAATATTATAAATAGACACTTTTAAAAGCTGTTTACAAAAATGAGTAAAAATGCTTAGCTTTGGCAATTTGTGGGTCTGACATATGGGAGCATATGGAAGAACATTGGTGACATTGAACACACAAATGATGTGATAAATAGAGTTGATTCTTGAACATGCTATATTCTGTATTGTTTTTATCCTGAAAACATGTCGATCAATAAATTTTCTGCAGCAGTCCCTTAAGTGTTGTTGTTATAAGACTTTCTACATTTTATGCCCATTATTACTATATATATAATAAAATATTAATTTTCGCGAACCATTTAGGTCACAGAAATTCCAAAAAATGGCATCAGTAAGGAGAGTTGTACAAATGATGTGAATGAACAGGACCCGGATCCAAATTATCTTTTACTAAAAGTATTCATCATTTTCTGTTTTGTATGTACTAACAACATTTCATTTTTCTACAATTTCGATTAAAATATTATAAAACCTGCAGTTCAATAGGTCACATGCCCCAAATAAACATTCCCCGATTGGTCGAACTACTGTGGCCTCGGTGTAAAGCAACGCAAGCCTCGATGTAAAGATCACGCTTCCAAAAATAGAGGTATGTCCCAACTTAACATGCCCCGATTGGTTGAATTGCTGCTCGATGTAAAGCAACGGAAGCCTTGATGCAATGAAGAAAAGGGGTTGACAGGATAAACGTAATCGTTATAAATTTTAACTTCATGGTTCTTATGCAAGCAAATTTAATAAACAATGATTTTATACAGTTGTGTTATTGTGTTCACCTTACATAGGGCTTTATTTCTGATCTTATTTCTGTGTACACAATTCTGAATACATATTTCACCTATATCAATATTAGGTAATCCGTTTGGACGATTCCATATACTATTATGTTTTAGGGTTTTAGTATATAGCTTTAGTGTCGAGTTGGTGTATAGTATATTGAGGGCTATCTGCGAGAAATAAATCCTTTTTTTCTGATAGATTAACTAAATTCAAAACCAATATAAAAATAGTTATCACATATATTTTATATAACTGAGTAAATTGATCGGAATGTGAATGATACATAAACCTAAAATTCGTTTTGGTCTATCCCAGTGATGACATTTGCGCGGGAATTTAGTCCATTGACATCGTAATATAATTTACTTTGGATTGTAATTATCTTTAGATGTAATGTTACAGGATTTAATGTGAAATTATTTGTCTCTTCTTTTATAGTACACGATTTTGACGTCAGGTTTGTACACATGAAGTCTCTAGTCTAAAAAAAGCCAGTGACAGAACGATAAACAGATAAGCAACTGTCTAGGGCCAAGTAAGGGAGGTGAAAAAGCCAGTATTACGCAGAACGATAAACAGTTACATAGACGGATCCAGGGGGTGGGGAAAATTTGGTTGATTTAATAGGGAAGCAGAGGCGGATCCAGCCATTTAATAAAAGGGGGGTTCCCAACTCGGGACAAAGGGTAGGGGGGGGGGGGGGGGGGGTGTTCCAACTATGTGTCCCCATTCAAATGCATTGATCGTCCAAAAAAAGTGGGGTTCCAACCCTCGGAACCGTCCCCCCGGATCCGCCACTGGGGAAGCATGACGGGAGTGGGCAACCCTTAGGTCAGTCAGCGGCCACCCCCCTTTTATGAAAAGTTGTGGATCCGCCACTGAGATTTATATAAGCAGGTTTTCTTTGTGTAGATACCTTAAAATATCACCAACTGTGACTGAGTACACAATTTGATTCATTTTAGCTCGTTAGCTGGGCTCACTCGCTAAAAAGGTTCATTGCGGGCCTGCTCACTGGCTAACATTTTACGATATTCATGACTCGTGTAGAAAAGCCGATAATCTATACATGTGTGTGAGGAGTAGTTATCAAGCTTGCTTTCGTCTGTAAAAACTGTCTTAGGCCAAGTTAGGGAGGTGAAAAAGCCAGTAATAGAACGATAAACAGATGATCAGGTTTTCTTCATATAGATCCCTTAAAATATCCCCCACTGAGGACACAATTTGATTCATTTTAGCTCATTAGCTGCGCTCCTTCCCCATAATAGGTTCATTGCGGCTTACTGGCTAATATGTGTAGAAAAGCTGATAACCTATACATACATGTACATGTATATGGTCAGATCATATGTTTTCGTTCGTCATATGAATTTGTACTATGCATGCCTTTTCAATGGAAATTGTGACGACAGTATGCATTCTTAATAGCACGAAAAACGATGAGAAGAGGATACATATGTCAACCAAAATTTTTCAGCAACGTCAAAATATGTGAGGACACCCTATCAAGATCTATTAAGCTTGCGTTCATGTTGCGTTAAAACTGTTTTAGGAAGGTGAAAAATACCAACAATATAACAATAAATAGATAATCGATATTGTAAAATATCAATGTGTTGAAAAGCCAATGGTCTCACCGTCTACATATATACTTAAATATGTCAACCATAAAATAAAACTGATTTAATTTACACCACAACTGTTGAAAAAACCTTTATGTTTATATAACTTATCTCATTCTAGTCCATTCAACTGACAGAATCGGTGTACATTTCATGAACTCTTTAATAACAATAATCATCATGGACTATTCTTTATAGCAATATCTGTTAGCCATTTAGGGGTCTTTTGCATTCAAAGTTTAGTTTTAGTGGGTTTATTTTGCGAAAAAGAACTCAATTTCCAGATCAAAGTTAACATTTTCTATATATTTTGTTGTGTCAAAATGACCTAATGAATATAAAGGACAGTACCCATATAGACCCAAAAATGGTATATCACATCCTACACATGACATTTTAGCAGGAAAGACTGCCATTTGAGTATATAACTTTTAACCTGTGTATGTATAATTAAAATATGATAATAAAATTCATATCTTTTTCAGGACTTCTGATCGAAACCATGTACATGTAGTATGGCATGTTTGTGAGATATGGTTTTGGTGGATAGGATGTTCATGAAGGACCTGTAGTACAAAGTATATCACTGGATTGAGCTCTTTGTCTAAGTGTATTATTAAAGTGCTTTGCTTTGAGCTCAGTTCATTGTTATGCAATTCATTCTTTGTGAAATAAAGATTTGACAGACAACTCTCATGTACAAGGATTTGTCAGGGTAGTATCCATTCTATGTACAATGTAAGTAATAAGGAGATAAAGCATTTTATTATGATTTGAACCAAACATTTTTTGTCCTTTAACCAAATTTAAAAAAAAGAACAAATTTACCCGACAATGCTACATTCGCTACTAGCAATATGATGCTAGGTTGTTTTAATACATCTGTACTGCCTACTGATGACTCGGTCCTGAGTGTAAATGGTCATTCAGTATGTTAAAAAAAAAAAAAAAAATTTATAAGGCCTATCTGGCCTAATTGATTTCTAAAACTATATTTCATTGTACATGTTCAACATTTTTCATTCATTTGTTTATTTCTTAATTAGTATGAATTAACATTGTTACAGTAAATATTAATTACTACACTTTCATACCACAACAAATACTGTATTGGTATCACTTATATTTGTATCCATATAACAAAAAAATTGAAAAGAGAATAATTTTGCAATACCTTTTTCATATTGAATACTATAACTTTTTTGATATTTAGACATATTAAGTAGATTTTCATAATACCCACTGGACATGCTTGAAATTCTATCAGATTACTTTTGGAGCAGTTATGAGTCTTTTAAGCATGCTCACAAAGGTTTTTTTTGTTGATATCGTTTTCATATTGGTCAAAACTTTTTTTTGATTCAGCCAGCTTTGGAGGAGATGTTATCAAAGAATTGATAAAAAACAACACAGAAATTTACTTTCTAGCTCATCTAGCCCCAAGCATCATGTCAGGCATTTTCATTACTAAAAACCAATAAATGTCTTCTAATCTGAGAAACAATTTCGACATTTTAACAAAATATTTTACTAATGATACTGACAATCCACCACAAAGTAATATAAATAGAACCATACAAATAGTGAGCAAATTTATATAAAAAAGCTGTGGTATGATTGCCAATGAGACAATTCTCCACAACAGACCAAAATGACACAGAAATTAACAACTACGGGTCACCATACAGCCTTCAACAATGAGCAAAGCCCATAACGCATAGTCATTTATGTTATTTATGTACACAAAATAAACGAAAAACAAATATTATGTAACACATAGACAAACGACAACCACTGAATTACAGCCTCCTGATATCATGTTCTCAGATATCATCTCCTATTTAAAAAAAAATCACATGAAAAAATGAACCTATTATGTGTTGCTCTCCTAGCTACAAAATTTATCCAAAATCAAAGATGTGGAAAATATTCTATCATAATCATTTGGTCATTAATGCAATTAGTGTCTCTTCCATGCCCTCTTGAACATAAAATCTAAATATCAAATAAACAACACTCCTCATGCTCAGGTTGGTTGTCATCGTGCAACACAGTTAATAACACCATATAGGAAAAACATAGAACTCCTTTTGTCATATAAAACACTGTCAAACATCCAAACATACTATCCACATTCATCTGTGTCCACACTTGTTTGTAAATAAAAAAAACCATTAGAAAATCAAACAAAAACTATGTATTCTTATATGCCATCATTACTATAATTAATGTAACATCAGGTTCCATGTGTATCTATCAAACGTTTGCATTGTCTTAATATAAATACATATATGATAGGAAATCTTAAATTGGTTTAGTTATATTATAAACTTTTATTTACCCTTGATCAAGGTCATAAACTCATCATGTTTAATCTTTCCCAAAGCAAGGTCAATCTTCAAGGCCAACAACAAGGTGAAGGTCATCTTGTCACACTCATACAGCCCTCTAACGGAATACTTGAACACTTCAAATGTCATAAACTCTATGATGTTTGTTATTCTTTTCTGTGTGATTGGTGATTTCTGGGACCTGTACAAAAAAAACTTACAATTAAATGAAAAGTCTATTTTTTTGTATAAAAGTTATATTTTCTTGAATATTGAAAGTCGGAAATTTCTAGTATTTCCCCTGAAAGAGACCACAGTGAAATGAAATGATGTGAAAAGTAAGTCATGAAAGTACATTTTCCACGTACATTTGAATAGTAAATATCCACATTGAATCAGTGTCCATATTCCAGGGAAAATCAAGAGTAAATATAAACTGTATCATATTCCCTTAAATAACACACCACATAGGGAAAATCAAGAGTAAATATAAACTGTATCATATTCCCTTAAATAACACACCACATAGGGAAAATCAAGAGTAAATATAAACTGTATCATATTCCCTTAAATAACATGCCACATAGGGAAAATTAACAGTAAATATAAACTGTATCATATTCCCTTAAATAACATGCCACATAGGGAAAATTAACAGTAAATATAAACTATATCATATTCCTCTAAATAACACTTCACTCTTTGTAATAAATTATCATAATTTCACTATTGCTTAAGACTTTACCATGGATTCATTAGTACTCTTACCTTGACATGGACAAGTCAAACAGATGTAAGAACTGTTTTAGAGCTGTCTGGTACATGCAGTTTACAAGACTCATCTCCACAATCAAGAAGTATAGGATACTACCACGTGATGCACATGGTCTGAATTCTTCTCTAGCCGTAGTAATTTTCACTTCAGTTTCTGCAGCTGTTTGAAGTTTCTGGCTGACATCTTGTGCTGTTATTTTTGTATCTCTCAACACATTTATCAAATCTTCATCATCAACCAATGAACCCTTAAAACATTTAAAAAATGGAAATTAAATTTCACAGCCTTAAAAAAATAACAGAAAATGCAGATTTCAAACATGGTGTATATTTATGTTACTTCTTTTATTACTATAATTTATATTATATATAGCTTGTTGTAAAAAATTACTTATAAAAAGCAAATTTTGTTCATGACACCAGAGATGTGATAACAGAGTTTTGACCATTTTGTCAAGATGGCACATAATAAAATAAAGAAATATCATGCCAAACTGAAATATTCTAAAATGGAAATTTTTTTATTTTTCTGAGCTTTCAGTCAATTAAGGAATTTACAATATAGGAAGATGTACTTTTTGTGTTTTAAAGATATGGTGGGATTCACAAACACTCTCAGAGAATTAAAATTAGCTTTCTGGCTTGAAAACATTGATTGTCTACAAGGATTTTTGTCCACTGACCTGTACACTGGTCAATCTGTACAATAGATTGTCTTCTAACTCTTTCATCTTTCTCTTGTTAGCTGTTACATCCTCCAATAACTTAACTCTCTCAGACTCCAGTTCCTGTGAAAAAGTCAGTGATATTAATGTTTTTGCATAAATACATCTTTGAATCCATTTCCACAAGTTAAATTTGTTGCTTTTTTACCAGACTAAAAGTATAGCTGATTTAGAGCTTTACATATTGTATAGACACTTGTTTATTGTTCAAGAATATATGTTGTCCTCTGGATGTTTTGGGTTATTTTTGTTGTAAGGTTATTGTCCATTGACCTATACCCCTTATTCATGAAAATGTTTCTTCTTAAAAATACAGGTATATAAAATAATAAACGAACTTTTGAAGATTATTCAATTCAAGAATTTAAAAAAAAAAATGGATTAAAGACTTTAAATGCTTGGTTGCAAAGAATGTTTCTTAAACAGTGGATAATGATTTATAATAAAAATTTAAATATATATGGAAATAAGAAAAAGGAAAACAATCTTTAAAAGACTCCATAATGGAAGATGCACAACTTCACTATGTGTGTGATGTTCAGGGAGATTTCAAGGATCTAGATTGAAAACTGTAAGAAGTGATTCCACAAAATTGACTTTTCTTTTGAAAATTTTGCTGAAAAATGACAAAGTCGCCATACTATTGTCAGTTTTGCAGACAAAAATGAAAAGTACTTAATGTGATGTGTTTATAAATAAATTAAGACAGAAGCGTCACATATCATCCTCACTAAAGGAAAATTTGCCAAGATTTTCAAATGCTAGAAAGAAATAATATTTTTCAAAATACAAGTAATTTTAAATGTAAACAATCAAGATTAATAATTTCTAATCTAAACTTACAGCTTTTTCGGCCAAGATGACACGTCCAAGTAACTGATCTTCCAATCCTTTCATAGTTACAGTGAAATCAATAATGGATGTCCTAGCAGAGATTTCTGGTGTATAGGATGGATTTCCAAGTTTTGTTGTGACGTATAGTGTAAAACCTTTCATGATATCACATTCTTTGTCCCCAACCTTGACCTTCAATGTTGACCCAACTTTAATAAAGTTCTTTTCTAAGACATTGTCAAGAGCAGGATCTAATTCTTCTCCAACATCTTCAATGATCAGAGGTCTACCTAGAGACATACTATCTTCCAAATGATTCCTGAAGTATTTGTGATTAAGGGAGGTAATCTGAAAAATAATTTACATATTTTGTTTTGATTAAAAGAGATTCTGTAATCCAGTAAGTATAAATAACATACATATAACAGGGATAAAAAAAAAATCAACTCTTCTAATTATCATTATAATGAAATTTATATAAAAGATATTTCCAGGTAAAAATGTGAGTTCAACTACTACTAATAATTTCAAGTTAAATCTTGTTCAGAGATGCAATCAACAAATTTACGTTGAAATATGCTTGTACCAAAATGAAGAAAAATACTTGAATGATATGTTGTGAAAAACCATTTAAGATGTAACTTTTATGTTAAATTATTATAATAATTTATTATGTAATCGGATATGATAATAACCTGTAATTCTTTCTTTGCTTCTCTGTTTTTGATCCAGTTTTTACCCTGTCCCTGAGGATCTATCAATAATGGGTATCTTGATGCTTTTACGACAATGATACCATTCTGTGTTGACAACTCGTCATTTGGTAATCCTTCCAAATTCCACTCTGCTATCTACATTTGTATATAAGAGAAAAATAGATATTTAAAATAAATTGTTTACTGTGTACATGAAACACTTCAGAAAAAAATCATAATAGTATTAAAATCCACTGGACTTGTTTAAAGTGTTCCTTTTATATGTAGTCTCTATGATACATATGATAGAGGAGGAGGTACAATAACAGCCATCATCTGGACTCGGAAATTACAAATATAGTCAAATTCTTCAATTCTTTCAAAATTATGAAACTTTTATCAATAAATGAACAAGATGATGATTGACTTTTTGTTACAGAAATACAAGTTGTGATGTCACTAAGAAGTCAAAAACATGTTGAAATTGACATATTTTACCTAAAATACCCATTATATATCGTTTTCGGCAAAACTAAAAATGACCCTAGGCCTGACCAAATTCATTATTTTACTCACATTAAAATCTTTGTATGAGACAATTTGAACCAAAATATCTTTCTAGGCAAGGCCTTGGCTCATATCAAAATATTAATGAAGCCCAAAAGCAAATACATAATAAAACATAAAATCTGATATCTGATATTTAGGTGTATTTTGAACAGTCTAAATCTATAACAATACTTTTCAACTGAAACCCCTTCAATTCCTATACTTACCGTTGTAGGATCTGTCAACATATCTATCACATTAAGATTAGGTGTATGTGGTATTTTCCTGGTCTTCAGTTCCTTGAACCAGTTTTTATTCAATACACTTCTGAAGTCCTGATTGAAAGGTCCAGAATAAGAGAGGAAAGCAGTACTGATCAGAACGTCACCAACCAATCTAAAAATAAAATAAAACCAGGTTTTAAATAAAAGCTTATTTAGATGGTCTGATAAGTACTCTTCTGTTTATAAAACATCAGCAATGTAAAACAAGGTTATAACAAGAAAATATGTGAAATCATATTTATATTTAGAATTTGGTTTCAAATGATATACATACACAGAAAAGAAATATGCATTTTAATAAAATACCTATTATCTTGAATTCCATAAAGACCTAGAATAACATTAGCAGTTATAATGCTTAAAGAATAAAAATCATGTTTCTCATCATACCAAATCCATTTTATTGTAAGAAATTGCATAAGGTAAAAAACTATCTAGTGCTCAAGTCATATTCTCAAAAATAGTATATAAATTGGTGTTTTTATGTGAATGTTTGTAATTTAATTATGTGCGTGACCAAAATTCAAAATAAAAATAAAATGTCTGATTAAAACAATATTCAAAAAATTTGCAGAAAAGGTAGCCTTACATCGCAATTAAATAGATTTACAATGACATTAAGTTTTTGACATTAAGTTTTTTTATATTCTCTGTCTTATTAGGAAGCATTCTACACTTTCAACTCTATTTAAATGGGCCTGTCCTAAGTCAGGAATTTCTTGGTTGTTTGTTTATGATATTTTTGTCTCTAAAGAATGTGTTTATGTGCATGATACATTGGATCGTTTAGTAGGTGAATTCATTCTGAACATTCCTAGATGTGTGTGGATGAAGAGCTTGTCAATCATTGGGATACTGTAGGTTGACTTTAAGATGTCTAATTTTTTGTTGATATCTGTCTCATTGATATTGACCCTACATTCCTTATTTTTCATATATTAGAAACTCAATATATTTTTCAAATCAACAAATCATACATTTAAAAATATTTCTGATGTCTAATAAATAAATAAAACAATATTTTTCCTTATTTTCTCAATTCAATTTAATAACTTCACATTCTTACATGCTTCTTACATGAATACAACATTTCAATATGCCTACTTCACCGACTCTCAGCCCTGTTTCAGTCAAAATTCATGTCAAATTTATTTGAAAAAATACATCATAAGATGAATTATTTTCTGTTTTTTTTTAGGACAATGTTGTACAAATGTACCATAACATTTCCTTATTTGGCCAAGCTAAATTCCAGTACATTATTTTCTAGGAGTTACATAAAAGTTTCTACTTTAGTCAAATCTAAAGTCAGGTCTAATATTTGTGGTATGCCGTTAATGAAATTAAATGCAGTTATTTTACACAGAATAAATATAAACCTTTTTTTATTCAAGATCAGTTGACTTCTCTAAATATCTCAATAAGACAAAGTGCAATACAAAAACTACTTTTTTTTATGTAACCTGTAAAATCTAATTAGATAAAAAAAAATATAAAAATTTTTAAATATTTAAATTTCAACGACATTTAAATTGTTCATATATAAAAATATCTCTTTGTTTCAATGCTTCAAACTTACCTTGACCCTGCATTAGTTAATCTTATAAGATTGAAAGGCATTAATACTTAAACTAATCTAGAAATAAACGTAAAATATTGGAGACATCAATTTAATCTCCAAGTTCATTTCCTGATAGTTCTATTGGAGAAAATTATGTCCTAAAGCCATTTAATATTTCAGTAAACAATGATTTACAAATAATGTTACTTTACAATATAAATATGCTGAAGGTTTTTACTAGATACTAAGTTTGCTTCACAAAAAAAAAAAGAAACAGGTTATATTCAAAAGCAAAATCATAATGCATAAATGATTTCTTGCTGATGTTCTCAACTGAACAACAGATAAATGAGAGCATGGTCCAGTTTGTAAGAATACTATGTATCCATCCATATCAAAGCTCATAAAGTACATTTATCATTCATGAGCAAAATCCTCAGTCAATATTAGTTTTTGTAAATACCTTAAAAAATGTAGTAAAGTTGAGATTTTTTAGAATTTTAATACAAAATAGAATTTTTCACAATATTCATTTTGTTTAAAGAGCTATACTTGGTGCAAAGTCCTGACAGAAAATTAAAGAACTTTGTTCCTGAAATCAATTTGATGGTACATGTATTCATCACTATACCAATGACTTTTTTCCATTCATCATAAATATATATTTATAAATCAACTACTTGATTGACCTACCTGCCAATTTGAGCTCTGAATTCTTTACTTTGTTCAGTCCATCTTTCTCTCTCGCCACCCAGCCCACTAATAAGAGTAGAAGCAGCGTTCATCTTTCTTCTACATGTCTCAGCATCATCTATCAACCTCTGTTATTAAAACAAAATCAAATTAGATTTACGTTAGTGTAAAAACATTAGTCACAATCAAGCACTTAAAAGATAAAAATTGTAGTTGACTTTGTATGATAAGTTTTAATCATATGTTTTCTCTGGTCATATTTTCCACCCTTCCATAATATGCCATTCTATTAATTTCACAACTTTGAACAGAACAAAAGATAATGCACAGTTAATTTCTTGACCAATCTTATTTATTTTACTAGGTTAAAAAACATTGATGATCTAAATAAATGCTTATTTCCAAAATTAAATGAATAAATTATATCAATTATCTCCCCTTCAACTTGACAGACAAAAAATATTTTGCATCTTGGCTCACTACCTTCATGTAATGTTTCATTGCTTGCCATACTACAGTTAAGAGTTGCTCATGTGAGCATATGGTCAAGTTTCATGGTAATATAGAATTTTTGATATGATATATGCATTAGAATTCTAATTCAACAGTTTTATCAGAATTTTTTAGAAGAAAGACAACTCTGCTTACATAAGTTATATCCTTATGTATAATGTATAGCCTATGTCAATTCTTACATATAATGTATTTTGTAATGCTCATTGTTGAAGGCTGATGTGTTCAATTGTCTGTTATACAAAGCTCAGATTTTGACCTTTTACATTTGTAAGTTCTAATATACTGAACATACATTGGTCTATCAGTTGAAAACGGGCAGTACCTGTTTTTCAGCCATAGCTTTGTCATACAAAGCCCTGACTTTAGCCAATTCAGCCTCTTTCTCATCTAACTGAGACTGTGCCTTCTGTAAATCACCCATGGCAATGTTCAGTCTGGCTTCTTGTACAGCTAAGTTCGCCTGTCAATTAAAAAAAAAGTTTTAATTTCTCTTAATATCTATTCAAGACAGATTCAATAGATAAGTTTTTTTCCCTACAGAATAACACTGTAGTACAATCTGTTGTTTACTAGTTTATAAATGTGTTCATCAATATCTGTGAATCTCATTATTTATAAATTCCCTTTTTCTAAAGAAAAAAATCCAAAGTTAGTAGAAGAACAAATTATGAAGAAATGGATGTTTAATGTATCTAATTGTTTTCCCACATTCTGTTTTTCTATATATTGTCTTCTATTTTTACTTGTAACATTTGTATACTTAATTCAACATCATTTGTAGATAGATATTTGGAATTTTCTTTGTAAGTGGATAAGAAACACAATGATTTTAATATGAGTAGGGTAGTATAAGCAAAGGATGGTAGCCCTTTGTTTTCTTGCTATAAGTTGATAATAATGAAAATTAACATCTGTATTCTGAATACTGACCTTCAATGGCAAGACTTCTTTGTTGATGGAAAAGAAAGACACCATAGCTTTGGTCCAAGAGCAGAGACCAGCAACATTACCACAGACCTTCTTTGCATTGTCAAAGTTGTAGTCCTCCATGGATAAGTATGGATCTAAGAGTTCTACTGTCTCGTCATTAATGGAGTCTTTAGGGAATGCAATCAAAATTGACAGGAAATTTGTACCAGCCAAAATCTAAATTTATAAAATCAGAATACATAACATTCATATAAAAAAAGAATATGTAGCATTCATATAAAGTAATTTTTTAATAAAAAAAAAAAAAAGCATGACTTGTGACTTGTCTCCCCTTCAATGTATTTTTTAATGTTGTATGTGTCTTTGTGTAATTTAAATTATGATAGCGTTTCAACAACTGATTCCAGGGGAGACAACCTGATGTTTGTGCTAAGATAAAAAACTTCACTCTGTGTGGTAAGCAGCATTATACCAGATCAGAAGGGGTTTACGTTTTCAGATTCCTTAAGAATAAAGCTTAGAAAAACGAAACAGGTTGAAAATTTGAATCAAAGCAGTAGTTTAGAACCAACAACAGACACAGAAAATGCTTCATTGGTTTCTACAAGACTATCTTTGAAATTGCTATCATTTGCCTGCTATGCCTTGACTGTATTGCATAATTATATAACACTGGTGCAGACTCCCTTCAATATCATCACTGTCTCGTAAGTTTGTACATTTCCTTGAATGATGTCTATAATATTATAATATTATGCAGCGGTGTGACAGTGTTGATTGCTTTCTATTGCTGCCTATATATTTTTTGAATATAATAAGAAAATATTTCCGATAGCAAATTGAAGCTCATAAAACATAACAGGTGGTCCAAAAGAACTCTAAACACTGTATTTATCCATTTAATTTTCTTTTTTCATTACTTCAAAACTTGCATACAACACCTGGATAAGTAAACAAAAAGAGGTTACTGTTTCTTCTATGTACAAGCTTCCTTTAGTAAGTATGGTATGTATCTGTGGCTTTGATAGAAAGTTAATGTGAAAAATTCCACAAAGCTTATTTTAAAACATGTAGTTATAGAACAGTAATTCTCAATAAGTTTTTCCTTAATAAACACCTTAAGTGATTCACTCCATTATGTTTTACACATGGTCTATAATACACACCTTAAGTGATTCACCCCATGATGGTTTTACACATGGTCTATAATACACACCTTAAGTGATTCACCTCATGATGGTTTTACACATGGTCTATAATACACACCTTAAGTGATTCACCTCATGATGGTTTTACACATGGTCTATAATACACACCTTAAGTGATTCACCTCATGATGGTTTTACACATGGTCTATAATACACACCTTAAGTGATTCACCTCATGATGGTTTTACACATGGTCTATAATACACACCTTAAGTGATTCCCCCCATGATGGTTTTACACATGCTCTATAATACACACCTTAAGTGATTCCCCCCATGATGGTTTTACACATCTTAAGTGATTCACTCCATGATGGTTTTACACATGGTCTATAATACACACCTTAAGTGATTCACCTCATGATGGTTTTACACATGGTCTATAATACACACCTTAAGTGATTCACCCCATGATGGTTTTACACATGGTCTATAATACACACCTTAAGTGATTCACCTCATGATGGTTTTACACATGGTCTATAATACACACCTTAAGTGATTCCCCCCATGATGGTTTTACACATGGTCTATAATACACACCTTAAGTGATTCCCCCCATGATGGTTTTACACATGGTCTATAATACACACCTTAAGTGATTCCCCCCATGATGGTTTTACACATAGTCTATAATACACACTTTAAGTGATTCACCCCATGATGGTTTTATACATGGTCTATAATACACACCTTAAGTGATTCACCCCATGATGGTTTTACACATGGTCTCTCTGGATCTGCCTCTACGGTATTCAGCCTCTTCTGGAATAAAAGTAACACAGCATCCATAATTCTCATAATTAAATGTGGAGGTTTGCCAAGTTTCCTGACAGTGGCAATATCAGCTGGCTTGATGGTGTTCAGTGCAGCCTCTGCTTCCTCTAAAGCAGGACGAGCCAGTTCTAATTTTGCATAGGCAACAGCTTTGTCCTTTTCGATGACATCTACAATGGCCTGAGCCTTATCTTTGACCTTTTGAACTTGTTCTTTGACCTTTTCAGCTGCCTGCGCTTTAGTGGTCACTTCCTTTAGTACTTGATCTGCCTTTTCTGATGCAACAGCCAGTTCTTTTTCTTTTTCAGCAAGTTCCTCTGCTAGAACAGACACTTGTTGAGAAGCTTCAATCAGTTTTTCCAACCCAGTGTTCATTCTTTGAGCTAGGTCTCCAATTTCTTTCTTCTTGTCAGCATAGATAGTTTTGTAGCCATTGATAAAAGACAAGTAGGATTTGGGTGTCACATGGGTAGAACGTCGGTACCTATTAATGTAATATTCAAGCATGAATACATATGAATACTATGTCACCACATTAAGTTAGTTTATTTTACTGTGGACTATGTCATCACATTAAGTTAGTATATTTTACTGTGGACTATGTCATCACATTAAGTTAGTGTATTTTACTATGGACTATGTCATCACATTAAGTTAGTGTATTTTACTGTGGACTTTGTCATCACATTAAGTTAGTATATTTTACTGTTAGATTCATTTATTTTTGTGAATAGCAATTTTCGTGGAATGAGGGAAACTTGTATTTTCTGGTATATTTGATTTTTAGGTTTTGCCAAACTCTGCATGACAATCCTAAAGAAGAATTGTGCTTCATTGAAATTCTTTGTTGTTTACCTACAGCCCAGAAATCCTTGAAAACTGGTACCCCACCACTAATAATAAATCCCCACTATTGGCTGATTCTTCTTCTCATGCTGACTTTAAAGTCTACCACAGGGTATGGATTTGATATTTAATTGAAGGCCTTAAACCAAGGGTCCTGGAATTTGTTAATGCAATTTTGGTCAACTGTTGAGGACTTGAAAGTCAGGGTTATTTCTTCAGCCTACAATGAATTCAGGATTCATATTTATATCATATTAACTTGTGTTCCTGGTAATAATGGTGGTCAGATTGAAGATGACGGAGAATAACTCAACATGAGGATGCTGCCTTTAACAATACATTCATAATGAAAAGGCATTCTCCGTTACTGTTTTCTTCTTCTTTATATTCTGTTTTCTTGTTTATACATATATGTTTACTTTCATGACTCCTGCTCACAAAAATAGTGTAAAAACTATCATGCTTCAATACTGAGTATATGAAAATTGATATGGACTGATACATAGTTGTCCTGGAAACTAAATTGTACAGTGAAAATAAAAACTGTTATCTTACCTTTGGAAATAATCGGTACAACTTTCTGCTACTCCATCGTGTATGATACCCATGGTATGAATAACCTGTTTCTTGATTTCTGCTGTACACTCTATATCAAACTTAGATAGGAAATGATCAGCTACAGCAATCAAAGCATCTCTAGGCCATCTCTGGAACCAGTCCATAGTACAACCGGAAATCAGTCCAGGGAATTTCAAAGATCTTGCTCGGAATTTCTCTCCAACCTGTGTAAAAAGTTAATCAAAAATAAATAGAAATCCTTACTTTAGGGCTAAACATTTACAGTCTCAAACTTTAGCTCAATATTGCATCATAATTGTAATGTAAACAATTATTACAGTAAACTTATGAATGAATAAAGTTTTCATGATGTCACCACTTGAAAAGCAGTTATATAATTATAATTTTATTTCTGAAGATTCTCACATTTTGAACTGGTATCTTCATTTAAAACAAATCCTAAATATAGAAACAAACATAACACCCATGCTTTCTCCTTATATGAACTATCTACATGTATACTATTGCATGCTTCTTTATTTACATGTTTATACATAAGTACACTGATCATTAATGTGCCTTACATATATCTATTCTAAACATACGTGGTGTGTCCATTTGTATTGTAATTGAAATCAAGTTTCAACTTCCCTCAGCCAATGTGTGAAATAACTACAAACTATAGAAAAATGTAAAGCCTTGGTGATCTACCTCAAAAAGTTGGAATGGGGCTTATATATTTAAAAAAAAATCTGAATGTACTTTTATCAATCCACACATGACTATCTGGTTTTAGACTGTTTATTGATGAAAGTGGGTGGCTTCTTATTTGCTTTACAAACACTTTATATTTTTCTGATCTTGAAATTATTAGCTTTAAAAAAAGGGACAGGCAAACATCTATATCTGACAGATCGCCAAATATATATTTTCACTTGTCCTGAGTTTTCATGTAAATTTGCTTCAAAATATAATGTATCATAACACATACTCTTTTAACTTATTCCCTGGTTACAGAAAAATTTGTTTTCTTCTTTGAACAAAACATGTTTATTGTGTACTTTTAATTCATTTTAACAGATCTTGGAGACCCTGATTTAGCTAATCATAATAATACAAGAATAACAAAATCCTGCAAAAGAAACTATCTATATTATAGTGCTTTATTAAATCTGTATCATAAATGCACTTTATGCACTGCCCTCGACATGCTTGCATTCAATAATAATGTTGATTATGACCTAACTAACAGACTTACAGCATCAGTAGCAATCTGTTCAGTAGTAATAAACAGTTACCAATGAAACCAAATATTATTTCTTTTATGAAATCTATGCAAAAACTGCAGTGGGCTTGTTCATAAAAAAATCTTTCAAAATTTTTTTTTCGTATAGACATGAATAAAAAATCAATATATTTTCATTCACACTAGAAAAATTGTCATAAATAGTCAGAAATTCAACTCTTTGTTACTAAAGTATAACCAATTATTGAAAATATCTAATCATAAAAATTTAAAAGGTTTTAAATTCTTATGATGTAAAAGTAAAATGTTTTATGTTGAAAATATACCAAAAAAATTCTAATGACACAATAAACACATGAATAATACATTATATTATAATGTAACAGCTTTTTTAAATACTGATCAGAAACTGTAAAAAGTTTTTTAAGTAAAGTTCTTGCATTTACATTCACCAACATCAGAATATGTTCACTTAGTGCAATTAGGAATCTGTGGTCTTAAAACCAGTTCAGACATATTTATCAGCCACACTGGATATAAGATTAATATATATGAAACACATCTATGAAAAAAAAGGTGACTTAAACGACCTTTATAATGCAACTGCGGCTTTTTGCATAGTAAAATTGCATTGACCATATATTCATTCGTGATAGAGAGACATTGACAATGCATTTTCATTAAGTTATATTTATGACATCAATAAAGAATACAGGTTCACAGAATTTTCATGCCGTCTGCTTCAAAGTCAAAATTGATGGTTTTTATCCAAAATATTTTATTTGGAACTGTTTTTAGAGTTGCATTATAAAGAGAATAACCATACACTGTCTAGAAATATGAATTGTGTTTTTACTACTACTAGGCCCAAAAAAGAATAGAAATGCTTGGCAAAGTCTTGCATTCTACCTGTTTCTAAGCCTTGTACAAATAAATTTTATATTTCGAGACAATATATAGTTATTCCAGAAATAAAACACATCTAGAAAAAAGTGACGGGCAAAGAATAAATTGGTTTGTCTGTGAACTTACAGGTGAGAAACAAAGTACAACATGGAGGTTGTTACGGACTCTTGACATATAGTATTCATACAAGTTTTCATTGGATGGTGGTCGTCGTGGAAACTCTTTCTTCATCACAGGGATCAGTTCACCAAGAATTTCATCCATTTCGTCTCGAGCAAACAAGTTAGCAACCTACAATGTAAATATTTAAATAAAATATCAATCCTTATTTCAAGAATAATAATATTCAAAGCATATGAAAATAAACATCAGTTTCTCTAAACAAATCTATAATTCCACTCAAACCGGTGCTTGGGGCCATCTTCAACTTGCAGTGAGGTGAGAAGTTTTTTGTTATGTGTTGAAGGCCTCACTGTGACTTTGAAATTAAGAACAGCAATAAAAGCACTGTTCTTTTGCTTTTTGTGTTTTTTTGTTGTTGTTGTGCATTTACTGATTTTGTGTCATGAATGGATACCCCTATCCTTTGTTTTTCTATCATAAGGCTAATTTTGGTTTTACTATGTTGAAGGTTGCTGTCTCTCAGATGTTTACCCTAATATCTCTGTTTATTCATTGCTATAATGGATTTGAATTAAACTTTGAAGAATGATTTTTCTTAATAAAAAGTAATTGTTTTAATCAGATTGATAAAACTAAAATTGTCTTTGGCTAATTGTATGAAGGTTCTATAAATTTTATTTACTATGATACAGATATTTGTGTTAGTTGTTGGTATCTTAACATCATTTTCTATGTTTCTATGCTATGATTTACAGATATCTGTGCTAATTGTTGGTATCTTAACATTATTTTCTATGTTTCTATGCTATGATTTACAGATAACTGTGTTAGTTGTTGGCATCTGAACTTAAGATTATTTTCTTTTTTTTTCAATGTTAATAAAATGATGATACAAAACATGTAGGACAATATGTAAAAGAAGGCTAAATGTAACGATAACTTTTAATCATGTTTCATCCACTCGAGCCATATTTTCTACTAATATTATTGATGACCACATCTATTTAAACAACTTACCACACCAGAGGACAGAACATTGTTGAGATATTCCAGGAAACCTTCATCTTTAATTTCCTGATCAGTAAACAGGAAAGTGATACCTTTTCCCTGTTGTCCTGATGTCCTGTACAGGAACTTCAAGTCGTCAAGGAAGTTGGATACATTGTATGATCTAAATGTACAAATTAAGATTAGAATAATCATTATATACTGAAATAATCATTTGGGAGACAGATTTATATAAGGTTTTCCTGGGAGACGGATTTATATAAGTTTTTCCAAACTTGTTTCCGAATCCCATATTTGAACTTTATCTAACATTGTATTGTAATATTTTATTCTTGTAAAATTTTTCATTAATAAATACTGTTTGAACTAAATAATCATTTAGAGGCTATTTGTTCACTAGATCTGACCATTTTCTGTTAAATTTAAAATGGACTGTATTTTTGCAGGAGCAGTCTAACAACCAATCAGGCTGCATATAAGTATGTCAGACTAGGAACCATAATTTACCTTCAATAACCAAGGATAGTTTTCAGTGAGCAAGCTCAGAAAATATAAGTAATGAATAATTTTTCTCTTAGATGTAATATTCAATTTGATATATTTATGCAGTATGATTTGTTTGTATCCTATCAATTAAGTCTGTGAAATAAAATGTTTCCTTTTTCTGGAAATTTATTTGTACAAACCTAGAAAGTGTGACCTGGAACGTCTTGTATCCTGCAATGAATGACGCCAACCGTGTCAAGGACTGTTTACCAGATCCACCAACACCGACCAGTAAGGCATTACCACGAGGTGTTCTGATGATGCGAGAAATCTTCACCAAATGTATCATTGCATCCTTAAAGAAGACAAGGTCCATACCAGATCCTCTAATGCCTTCATTGTACTGCTGTAGGAAACTATGTAAACGCTCTTCTAGAACTTCAAATGACTCAATCTGAAGATAGGAAAAGTTTATTAAGTTTATCTACCGATCTGTAAAAGTTAAGACAAATAAAAAGTAGCTAATGACAAAACATACAACTAAAAGCGTCTGGTAATAATTCATAGCCTGACTGTAAAAGTTACTCTAGTGCTGTTGTGGTGTTGAAATAAATTCCTTTTTTCCATAAGTTTTCAGACAATTTATAATTGTTAATGAAAAAAAAGTCTAAAATTCTACAGTTAGAGTGGGTGGCGCATATTCGCCACAAAATTCGTTCATTTCCACCTACATCCGACCTACATTCGAATATTTGAAACTTTTTATGTAGGTTTCAGAAAGTTTACTATATGAAAAAAATGTTTGATAAAGGAATTCTCATCAAAACATTGGTTAAATGTTTTAAAAATGAACGCAAACTCAAGAGGAAATCAAGTTGTTCGTGTACCATGGGGGACACATTTTCGCCGCAATGTATGATATGACCATCCTCATTATCCTTGTATATTATAAAAACAATTGTTTGCAATTATATGAATTAGCTTGAGAGATCATTCCTATATGATTTTTATAACAGATATTTACTTTATGACTGCGCATGCGTACCATATTAATTTTACATAATTGCCAAAATCGTTCAAAAACACCTGCGTATTTCTTTATATGTGCGAATAACATTGAAAATGGGGTAAAGAGGAATATCAACAGTTTGAACATTACAAACAGCGTTTAGCATCTATTTAGGCAAGTATTGGGTAAAGGCACACGAAATTTACTGAAAAAATTGCAATACCATGCAATCAAATATTCACAAAAATACTATTTTTGCATACTCCACGAAAATTGGTACCCACGAAAAATAAATGATTCCACAGTAAAGGTTTTGAAAATCAGTTGACAAATTACTTACTGGTTCATAGATCTTTGGCATTTCAAAATCACAATCATCTGGTTCATCACCTGTTGGTTCTGGTGCATCCCTGTGTTTTAATACATATACAATTACATATATCATCAAAGATATTTTTCTGGTATTCTTTTTTTTTTTAATTAATTTCTAAATGTAAACAAATAGCTATACTAGCTCATTTGATGATAATATAAATTTATTATAATCTTAAGTATTATTTCACTGAATACCAAATAATCATTAATAAAAATGAAAATTTAAGATGTATTATATTATTTTTATAAAAAAAAAACTCAATTTGACTTTAAAGTTTTAAATTACAATTTCTTAAAAAATATTTTGTTGAAGTTTGTATGTTATAGATAAAATATTCAGTCAGTATTTTTGAAGAACCATAAAGAATAAAAATCAAAAACTGGAAATATTGATGTTAGAGTAAGTTTGTGACTGGGAAAAAACAACATAGGATTTGTGATTATCAAATGAATTAAAAGAAAAAAGATGTTTTGTTTTACAATAGTGTGACAACACAGAGAAATGGTGAAATTATTTTGCAAATTATACATAATATCATATTTCATAAATAATGGATACAAAGCACACATCTATCATAAAGATACTCGTAAATAAGCATAAATTAACACTTGTTCGCCTTTTTACTACAACTAAAATTGAACACATCTATAAAATAATATAAAAAAATACATTAAATTAAAAATGATAATTTAACTTTCTAAAACTGTATGCTCTTATATTTCCATTTTTTTTTTTTCGAAAATTAAAAAGAGGCTATCCAGACTGCATTTTTCTTTCTAAAAGCTACCAATGCATAAGAAATGCAAATTTTAATTGTTCTGTTAAATAAGCATCTAGATCTTTAAAGATTACCTGAAATTCAAGAACTCCAGGCAAATAAGACTGGAAGTTCAGAGTAAGCCACAATTTTACATCAGTCAAATATTAAGAAAGGAATAAGACGTTTATTCAAAGTCTTATTGATTTATTTTTGGACTAATTTGTCTTTTCTATTGAATAGTAAATATCCTTATTGTACCTCATGAAATCTCCTAAATACATAGTCGGTTTACAATTCTCATAGTAATCAGATTCTTCACCGAATTCTTCACTGGTGACTCTCAAAATGGTCTTTTCAAACCACAACATGTCATCTTTGGATGTGAACCTGTTCGTTTTAAAGTCAATTAACAAATAAATCCAAGAAAAAGATAATGCAGTAAAAAATGTTAAAAATGATCAGGGCTCATAGTGAAAAAAGCTTATTGTTTAACAATTAGCTTTTTTGCCAAAAGAACATTTTTTGCACATATATAAATAATTATTTTAACTAATATCTTTCAAATTATGACCTCCAAAATGTCTTCCTCTTTTTTATGACTATGAACCTTGAGGCTTAATAAATTTTAGCCAGGTCTTTGAATCTGACCTACCTATCATTATGCATAAAACATGCATAAAAGATAAAACCAAATCTTATAACAAGAAAACATTTTTTTATTACAAAGACCTGACTAAAAAGGACAAAAAAAAAGCAAAAGACGTGCAAACAAAAATAGGAAGGGTATATTCAAGGTCGTTGCTGTAGCAACGTTAACAAACCTCAGGAAATCAACATAATAATGTGTGGGTTCTGTCCAGTGTGCATGTTCCTCGGACAATTCCTCGTTTATTACTCGGGATATTGTTTTTGTAAACCAGTTGTAATCCTCCACAATAGTGAACCTAGCAGAAGACATGCATGGTTAAATATATGGTTACACATTGCTACACACTACAAAACAAATGGCAAATTATCTCCCCTTGTAACCTATTTGATATTATTAAAAATTTGAAAAGAATAAAGGTAAATAATGTGTTAAACTATTTATAGTCTGGTAATTTAATTCAAGTTCAACATTACAAGAGGAAATTATAGATGCCAAAAACTAATAAAGCACGGTTATATTAAATGCAATATCTACACAATCCATTTCATATGCTGAAAACAAATATCATCATTAATTCACATGCCAAGTTTATGCATCATTTACACAATGTCACTACAAGAATTTTTAAAGTCACAACAGGAAAAAAAGTGGGTTAGTTTTGAGAAGTATCCACAAATAGATGAAAAAAAGGTATAGCAAGTTCTCAGGATTTAAAAAAAAAGTTATTAGAATAAGAATCATTTTTTTTGAAGAATTTAAAATTATCAGTAAAGTTATAATGGAATGTAATCTCACACCTCAACTAATGTATTAAAAATCAACAAAAAAAGGAACACCATTTAATACATTCCATTACGATAGTTTTGAAATCAATGTCTGAAAAGCTTCTTCTATAACAGCTGTGGACTTAGGAGTGGCACAGAGAAGTAGATGTTCCAAGTGGTGTCACTTCCTTAAAAAATACAAATTTTTAAAATTTTATTTATGTCCTTAAAATGGGGCTTTGCAGAAAAATGTGCTGGGTTAAGACTGATTGTTTTACCAAAGAGTTCATCTTTTTGTAACTGTTTGTTACTGAAAATGCAAAACATTGAATTGAAATAACAATTAGCAACTATTAAATATGACTGCCTCATTTTCAAACAGTGACTTGAAAAATTGTTTAGTTTCTCCTGAAGAAAACAAATACTTTACCAAAGCATTCATTATTTCTGTCATTTTGCACCAGAATCTGCTATGGAGGGGTTATCAGAGTAACAACTCATTCAAATTCACAGAATAGCAATTTTTGAGGAAAATTGTGATTTTAAAAAAATTGACAATTTAAAAAAAACACGGTAATTTGGGAAATTGTTGGCAAAATATTGATAAAACATCCTACCATGATTCATGTTTCTAGGTTTATTTTCTCCTTAGTGAAAATGTAATATTATTTTAAATGGAAGTGGTCCTTAACATTTTTTGCTATTATATAATGAGCAAATATCAGGCTGTTCTTCAAATCTGTTCACTGTTGTAATCAAAAGATTGGTGAAGCAGGTAACAAAACAAACAAATAACATGATCATTCATTAAATAAAACTTTCTGCCATGTTTTTGCAAAAGAAAATTTGTTCTTCCAGTTTAAATAATAATATACTTTGAAGCAAATGGCAATTGAAATCATTAATTAATAGCAAATTTTATATCAAAATTAACGATATGAAGAAAGATCCCACCTAGAATTTCTCAAAGATCTGTGATAGTCAAGCTACTAAGCTATTTTCTATAAATGATCACATTATCTTTTAATATACACCCAAGTCCAGTTATACATGTATATATAAGTCTGACCAGTAACCCACATGCAAAGAAGTTCATTCTGATTAAGTAAAACATGCAATTCAGTTGTGCAACCAATCACCTCAAATTGATATACGTAATTGAATAAACCTAAAGCTTGGGAATAAATGCAAAAAACTTTATGAAATTATTTGAAGTTTTTTGTACAAAGAGGAAAGCTTTGTAAAAATGTTTTTTTTTATTAACATTTAATAGAGTTTAATAACACCAGACATAAAAAAAAAAAAAGATTTAAGTGTGCTGTTTCTAGGCTAAAGACTGTTAATAATGTGAAAGTCAATACAAAATCCATTATAAAATATTGGTATGGATTTAAATGAAAAACCACAAGCTTTAGATTATATCTTTCTTCTATAAATCTGCTTGATAAAATCTACAGGATGTTTGGGAAAGAAAGGGTGGAAGTCATTTTAAAATATATCAGAACTTTGTTTATGTAACAATATAGATATATCAAAGAAGTGAATAGAACAGAATGTACTATTCTTTGTAAAAGCAGATTTATAGAATGTTGAATAAATACACCAAGTAACCCAGAATTTGCTAATACTCTGGAAAACAACTAGTTTGACTTGGAAGGGTTGAACTCCATCAGAAAATCAAATTTACATTTTAAGAAAGTATAAACATATGGATTATATTTGTCTGTTCCTCTTTAATGGTTACTAGTGTCCAAATTTCCAAATTTGTTCTTGATTATTATAAAAACAGTGTATTTATGGGTGTATGTGCATGTTTGAATTATTTTGTTTAATGTTCAAATAGTACAATTCAAATGTTTGCAATTTTTTTCAATTTCTTAATGTTTTTTAACATCTGCATCATTTTATACATTAAACACACAAGTTGTACCAGGACAAACCTTTTACTTTTATGATCTCTCATCATTTATAAGTGTTGAAGAATAATTTTACCATCCTATTACACATTTCAGTAGACACTCATACACTTTTACGCTATAAACCACATATTAAACAAGAATGTGTCCATAGTACATGGATACCCCACACGCACTATCATTTACTATGTTCAGTTGACCGTGAAACGGGGTCAAAACTCTAATTTGGCATTAAAATTAGAAAGGTCATATCATAGGGAACATGTGTACTAAGTTTCAAGTTGATTGGACTTCAACTTCATCAAAAACTACCATCGAGGTGAGACATAAAAATACTGAATTTGTTTCTCATTGACATATACCCCACGTCTCCATTTATTCAATTTTGTAGAGAACACAAATCTAAATTTTATGAACTGTAAAAAGAATGAAAATATGTACTCTACATGAATTTTTTTTAAAATCCAACATAATGTTGCTGTTAATTATTCTTGACCACATTTTTTTTGTTTGTATGTTACCTGTCTGCAATTACACGACAACATTCATGTTTCCATAACCACATCATATTCTTCTCGTCATTCACAACATCTGAAATTGTATTTATCATTCCTTGCCAAATACGGGACAAATCACGCAAGTTGAAAATGTAATGGAATTTGGCTGGAGTTGGCAACATTTTGATCTGAAATTCAAAAAGGCAACAGTTTTACTTCAGTTGATGAGAAAAAACAGAGCAATGTATTAATCTTTCTAATATTTTTCTTGTTACAGTTATAAATTAGGTAACAATGCATGTTAGCATGAAAAAACTAGAATTGTTACAAAAAAAAGTAGTACCTTGGTGAGCTGCCAAAGTCTCCTAGTGATTGGTACCAGTTTTCCAGCTAAATCACGAACTATTTCTTTGAATCCTCTCTCGTGACAGAAATGTCCACAGCCAATGACAGTGAAGATTTTATCCATGGAGGTATTAGATGGCAGAGTACAGTTAAAGATCACAAATTGTCTCTTTAGACGTTGAGGAATGTCATTTCGTCCACCTCCTGGCTGAATCATGGCTGCTAGGAACTGAAATATAATATTTTTACTAGGTAATGCAGATCAGATTTTAGCTTATCTTGACAAGTTTTGAAGAATAAATTAAGACAAGGATGTGTTGTTTTCTTTAACAAAGAAACAAAAAACTCTTTTTTTAAACCCAATTTACCTAAACCCAGTTTTGATATTAAAAAAAAACCATGTATATCTTATTGCTTTACTGCTTATTGTTAATTCCAATGTATCAAAAATGACAATAAGATAAAAATAATTCTGTGCAAATTCTAGAAATAAACTTTCTACACAAGTCGGGCCTCGGTGGCCGAGTGGTCTAAGTAGTTACTACTGTAATCACTAGCCAGTCAACACTGAGGTTGTGAGTTCGAACCCCGCTCGTGCGGGTGCACTCGACTCCAATCTTAATTGACTAGGATTGTCAGTTTTCCTATCGAAGGTCGTGGTTTTCTCCGGGCGCTCCGGCTTCCTCCACCAATAAAAACTAGCCGCCACGAAATAGCCCAAAAAGCGGTGCTTGAAAGTGGCGTTAAAACACCAAAAAATCAAAAATCAAATCTACACAAGCATTTTTCTTTATCTACTTTGGTCTTATTTATTCAAGCAGCTAAATTATGAGTTCTGCCATCTTTTAATTTCATTTATTAACAAGAAACAGGTGAAAGTATGTAAGTATAGTGTACCTGTACATCAGCAATGTTTGTAAAGTCTCCAGGTTTGTCCAGATTGTAGAAACCATTCATTTCCATCAACTGTCGTACAACCTCATTACCAACTTGATCTCCCCATTCGTTGATTACAGGCATGTTGATATCGTCAATAAACACCGTCATCTTCTTACCAGCTGGAGGTCCAAAGGTTGTACCCACTCTCTTCTCAACGTAACTTTCAATGGTTCTCTAAAAAGGATTGCAGAAGAATTTTTAAAACAATTTATAAAACTGTACATCTATATACCTACAGATTTCTTACAGCATAATTCTCTGATGATGCATATCTAGTATAAAACTTGACCTATGATGGGGAAGAATCGAGTACTCACAAACTAATTAAACCTTGCCATATGTTAATAAGCATGTTTAAAGGGAATCTCAAGTCTTTATCAATGTTTCACTATAGAGGAAATTTCTGTGAATAGTATGATAGTCTCTGTTGAATGCATTAACAAGTTGTCTAAATTCCTGGGTATCATGAATGGACACTTGTCTATCATTGAAGATAGTTTGTTAATCTCTGCATACCTTTCTTGGCATGAGTGATGCCTGATTTTTACCCAATATTTTCTTTAATTCATACAGATGGTACTTGAGGGTAAAATCTTACATAGCAAGGCATGTAAAAGTTTTTTAAATTTAAAAAATGTCTCTGTCTGCATTTCCTTGTAATATTTCTTTCACCTGGATATACATAGTGCAGTATCAAAGATCATATATTATTTCTCATTGTTGACTTCTAAGTTATGGTTGATAGATTCCAGCCAATGGAAGTCTGGGTAATATTTTACTCACCCGGATATGCATAGTGCAGTATCAGAGACCTTATATTATTTCTCATTGTTGACTTCTAAGTTATGGTTGATAGATGCCAGCCAATGGAAGTCTGGGTAATATTTTACTCACCTGGATATGCATAGTGCAGTATGAGAGACCTTATATCATCTCTCATTGTTGACTTCTTATTATGGTTGATAGATTCCAGCCAATGGAAGTCAGGGTAATATTTGACTCACCTGGAACATGTATGGGGTAGTAGCAGAAGAGAAATTGAGAGATTTCTCCATATGGTATTCTGGATTGTATTTGGCCATGTATCCATTAATCATGACAGTCTTGGCTGTTCCTTGTTCACCTATCAGTAACACAGCCTTTCCTTGTTTAGCAATCAGATCCACAAGGTATTCAGTCCTGACATTGTCCACCATGGGAACCAGAATAGAACTGTATTCCGGTGTTGAGTCTGAGGGGTAGATATACTCCTTTACATGTTTGTTCCAGTGACTCCAGGTACCTGCAAGTAAATTCATAAAAGGTAAATCAGTTTAATTTGAACCAGCATATCCATAACTGGCAGAGAGCTCTTTCAAACACAAATTTTTTCAGAATGTTTGGCTGACATTTGTATTTACAAAGCGCACTATTTTATCATTTGTTAAAATATAAAAATGTTAGTCAGATTAACATGCGATACCTACCATCACTATCTACCATGAAGTCAAACATGGTATCATCAGAATCAGGGGAAATTACTGGCAAGTCTAATGTGAAATCGTCATGATTACGTAGAAACTCCTCCATCTTTACTCTGTCGTCCCATTCAAGGAAAGATCCAATACACCACATACATGTAAACACATACAAACGCTCTGCATGCTTAGCGTTCAATGCTCCTGCATCCCTGTCGTCTTTACTTGGAATCAGTCCTTGTAACAGCTTTGTGGCCTAAAATTATAAATATGAACTACTGATGTATATACATATGCATTGATGAGTTGGTGCAAAGTAATATGTTTATACAATCCTTTTATTAAACAAAGAAACTAACCCTTTCAATCTAGATATTTTTGGCAAAATAAAGATGGTCCAAAGTCTGGTTTTGAAGGAGAGGCACTAAACTAGAACCTACTGTTTAACAAAACAATTTTGAAAACTGCTATGCATACTTTATTCATCAATATACTTGTAAAAATGTAAATCTTGTGCAAATAGTTAAATTAAATGCATATTCAATGGTAAATTCAACAGATGTCTTTAAAATAAAAGCAACTGTCTGAAAACTATGTTTAACCAAGTAATTCTGCATCACATTTCTTATATGATGAAGTCTCAATAAATTGTATGGATAATCTTTATTATTCAACAAAAAAGACACATTAATTCCAAAAGAAATTACTAGTACATGTATACCAAAATTAATGCCCATTATCAAAAAACTTTACATCAATTATACTTTATCTTAGTTTATAGCATGATTATAGTATATCTTTATTGAATTAATTTTTCTATTTCATTCATTGGGAACTTCAGCAGACGACAAACATTTACTGCAATGTTGATCAACAATACTACACCTACCTGTACAATGATGAATGCTTCTAAAACATCCATTTTGAAAACAAAGGTTGTGGTGGCAAAATTCAACAGATGATTAAATGACCTGTCAAACAGATCCATGATGATGCTCTGTTCATTTATTGGTCTTAGGTTCAACCATCCCTGTAAACAAATTTTTTATTTGGTAAGAATTCAGTGAATATTATTATATCTTTTAAATAAAATCTTTAAAAAATCATACATTTCTATATCAGTATCAATTGGTTCACAACACCTTAGGCAAATCTAAATAAAATAAATTCCTGGCATTCCATTCCAATACACCCCTCCATTTGATGTCCTTCAATTTATTTTCTATTTTTGCTATTTAGAAAAAAAACCGGCTTCATATCAAATTCAAAAATCATCTAGATTTAATCCCAAAAGTTAAAAAAGTAAACTTGCCAACCTGTAAAGGAATGGATAGTAAAATATAGAGATTATTTTAGATATCAGCCATTTTGCTCCAATATTTGTATCCCATGTTATGTTGTTTTAATTCCCCATTCATTTGAATATTTCCTGAGTAATTGTATAAGTTTTAATGATTGTGACATACCTGAAGGATGGGTCTCCAGTCCAGTCCTGAGTTACTCTATAAGTTTAAATGATTGTGATATACCTGGAGGATGGGTCTCCAGTCCAGTCCTGAGTTACTCTATAAGTTTTAATGATTGTGATATACCTGAAGGATGGGTCTCCAGTCCAGTCCTGAGTTACTCTATAAGTTTTAATGATTGTGACATACCTGAAGGATGGGTCTCCAGTCCAGTCCTGAGTTACTCATGTACACTTCATTTGAATATTTCCTGAGTAATTGTATAAGTTTTAATGATTGTGATATACCTGAAGGATGGGTCTCCAGTCCAGTCCTGAGTTACTCTATAAGTTTAAATGATTGTGATATACCTGAAGGATGGGTCTCCAGTCCAGTCCTGAGTTACTCTATAAGTTTTAATGATTGTGACATACCTGAAGGATGGGTCTCCAGTCCAGTCCTGAGTTACTCATGTACACTTCATTTGAATATTTCCTGAGTAATTGTATAAGTTTTAATGATTGTGATATACCTGAAGGATGGGTCTCCAGTCCAGTCCTGAGTTACTCATGTACACCATTCCATTCCTGGACACAGTAGCTGGGGAAGCATTGTCTATGTTATGTGGCTCAAAGATAATCTTACAGTTAGGAGCCATGGGAATTCTGTCACCATTAGCTAAGGTCAGAGTCTTGTTGTCATCCAGTACAGAGTTCAAGTTTTCAATCCAGATAGCATCAACAGGACCATCCAATACAAGCCAGATGTGTTCTCCTGTAACAATAATCATAATTATTATTGCCTATGATTGCTTACATCCACTTCATTTGAACTTTGGTGGATAGTTGTCTCATTGGCAATCATACCACATCTCCTTATTTTTATACTGTGTAAAATGAACACAAATTCTTTAATATCATCCAATTTTACATCTTCATGCTTAACGATGTCTTTATTATTTTCGAAAACTTTACAGATATAAATCTGAAAATATTTTTCACTAATATTTGTAAAAAATACTTTTGACTTATTTTCATCTAATTTGAATTTGTTTCATGAATGTTATCTCATTCTTCTATAAAAATATAAGAAATGTTTACATAGTTAATGAACTTCTTTTCCAGCTTATTTAAAACCTAATAAAAAAACAAAGATTGTGATGTCAAAGTATTGCCAAGTATGTTTACCATAAACATTATAAAATCAAAATTTCGATCTTACTGCAAATCAAATAAAACCTATGACCTATTAGTACTGAGTACTAACCTTTCTTTGCTTTATTAGTTCTCCTCCACAAGGTAGAGAAGATACCATCAGTCCAGTCATTAGTGGCCACATCTAGACGTCCAAACATCTGAGGTGCTGTGATGGCTTTAGGATTCATCCTCATTTCCCTGTGAGGAGCCCCACAGTCAGTCATGGCCTTCATCAAAGTGTGGATGCAGCATGTTTTACCTGCTCCACTGGGTCCAAGGGCCATCATACCGTGTCTTACACGCTGAGTCTCAAACAACTGAATCAATTTCAGAGTCCATGATGGATGGTTCACTAATTTAGCTTCCTCGATCTGTTTGTTAATGGCAGCTTCTAATTCTGGGTAACCTCCCTTGTCTAGTGAGATTCCAGGGAATAAATCATTGATCAGAGACAAAAAGAGTGGTTCATCCTGATCGATAAGTTTGGATAAGTTCATGTCACGTAATACTCTCATTACACAGGTAGATTCAGTCTCTTCTTTGTTTGCCCGTTTAACAGTACCAAGGGTTCTCAATACAGACAAAATGTTTCTCAAACCAAAATCATAATGCACCTAGAAAATGACAGTACCAGTAATATACGTATAATATCAATTGTGAAATAGACAAAAGTAAAATGGGTAATTTTCACTCATTTGAGCATCAATTTGATGCTGCACAAACATATAATATCCTATTTAGTAAGGCAAACCATATTTTAAATGTGGTAGGACAAACACTCCAATTATTACAACTCAAATTTAATTATTATTGTTAGTAATCTTTAAAAATAATGTACATAATTCCCATTTATTAATCTTGTATTAACATTGGTTTTTGAAGATTCCAATTAGTTAATCCATGCATTAACATCGGTCTTTGAGAGATTCCCATTAGTAAATGCATGCATTAACACATGAGTTATACTTTCGCAATAGAAAAAGTTTATGTAGTTAAAACCTACAGGTAGACAATAATAGTAAAAATACCTGTTTTGTCAGCTGTTCTTCACAGAGTTTATACAGTGTGTAGAATTTTCTGGCCAAGACAATGTTTTCAATGAAACCAACACTAGCCAGCTTGACACGGATAATGATCTGTCTGTCTGGCACCATCATAGCAACGGTACGGAAATTCAACTTCAGATTCTCTGGCAATTCCTGTCGTCCAGCATAACCAGGGTTCTATGAAAAAAAAACATGAAACTTTGTAGAAGAAGCATTTATATTATACTATAGGTTAATGAAGTGTTACATAGGATAGATAAAACTAAATGAAAAATTCTACAACAGGTCAGCCTTAAAAATGAACTAGTTTCAAGGATTTTAGACTTTGACATATTGTTTAGACACCTGTCTATTGCTGAAGACTGTATATTAAACTCATGATATCTTTTGGTTATTTCTTTTGTTGTTGGGTTGCATTTATTATTGAAGTATACCCCACATTTTTTATTTATAAGAAGAGTCATAATTCAAAGCAATGCCTAAAGACTTTTTCAAAAAAGAATCATTGATAACTCAAAAAGTTTATCATTGGAAAATAATGAACACTTTCCTTAATGAAAAGATTTTTAACCCTATGTAAAATGCATTTGATGCCTCCATAGAAAGAGGTTGAAAAAGTTGTGTTTTTAAGTCATAAATTGTCATTTGTGCAGAAGATAAGATTAAATACTACAAATCTGTCTTCATAAGGAAAGTACGAACAGAAAGAAATTTAATATGTCTTGGGTGGCATGCTCCTCGAATTACCTGTACTTGATACTTACCATGGTTAAAAATATACCAAACTCAGGATTCATCAGAACATTGTCTCCATCAGTAAATATAAACTGCTTCTTTCTCTCTTTCTTACAATTCAATACAATGGCAATCTGCTGGGCAGCCACAGATAATACAGGAAGTTCAATACGATTAAACTCATCAAAACATCCCCATGATCCTGACTGGGCCAAACCTGAAAATACACGAGTATAATTAAGTAAATCATGAACAGGCAAAACCTATCGATACGCAAATACTAAAGTAGTCCTTGAACTTTTGAATTTCTGCAAAATATTCCACATGGTTTACTTTAAACAACTAAAATTATTGAAACCATTTGTTATTCAAATGTTCTATTTGAGACTTTAGAACAAAATAAGAATATTCTTTTAATCACCGGAAAACAGTAAAAAAATCAGATTAAAAAAAATTTGACATCCAATTTCTTGGGAAATTTAGATATAAACACAGATTATTCTAGTGTGACCTTTAATCTGTACTAATTATAATAAGTTTAAAGAAAATTGCCTTCCTTTTTTTGAGAATAGCAGTCTACAATGTTATAAAGTTTTACCTTTGTAAATACGTCCTAATCCTCTGAAGTCCATCTGATCTGAACAGTTGAAGACGACAACATATTTTCCAAGACAACGTCCCATGTCTTTAACAGTCTCAGTCTTTCCTGTACCAGCTGGTCCAGCTGGGGCACCTCCCATAGACATACCCAAGGCCTGGGCTAAGGTGATGTAACATCTGCAAAAATAAATAATGTATCTGAAAATTGTGACCACTTCTCTCATAGAAATACTCAAGACCTGAGATCATGTGATGTAATATATGAAAGAAAACAATATGTGAATCTAATGATGAAATTAAACAGTTCTGGCCTGTAGAATGCTCCAGTTTTGATAAACTTTTTTTTTGCAATGGTTCTAAAATTATGTAACATCAAACTGAATTTATATATTAGATCTCCTTTTATTCATATCAACTATGATCCTTATTTTAACAAGTATTCAATGCAATATATTAATTTGCTTCTGGATAAAAACAAGTGTCAAGTTCAAAACTTGATACTAATGTGAAGTCTATATGCTGTCTCCTACCTGTCAGTCAGTGGTGTGATGACCAATCTTTCTGTACAGCCAAGGAATTCATTCTGGTAGATGAAATCAACATCAGTAATGGAAATCTGACATTTGTCTTGGTCTTCTACGAAATAGAATCTGGATTGCTTCTGCCATTCAAAATCTGTAGGTGTTTTCACATGAGCTTTGCACTGTAAATCAAAAATAATTATGTTAGTGGTTGTCTTTTGTCAAATCTTTGTGTGTTTTTGTTAGTTTGGTGTTGATGGCAGATCATTTTAGAATTTTTGGGTTGTTGGGTTGCTGCCTCATTCATGTATACCCCAATTTTCTTTTAAATACAGTCAAACTTGCATGTATATGGTTTTATGAAAAAGTATCAAATGGACGTCACAAACTGTATGTATTAGAACAAATTGTCAATGTCTTCTTCTAACACATAACTTTTATACTTTACTTTCCTAAACTTTATATAATTAATTTATAATCTTTATGTTTTAATTGTACCAGACTAGAATAATAAGAGTATAAATATTTCACTATGAAGGATTTGATCATCTGAAATTTCATGGACACCAGATTCTATACTATTCATGTAATTCAACAGAAAACTAGTCCATAAAATAACTTTTATTCTTATCAAATCAGTGCCATAGATGATTTTATAACTGTTTCATAGATGAACAGCCGTCTCCCTTGGCAAACATACTGCATATGACTTTTCACACACAATTTTGTATGTCTACCACTAGGTGTTGTTCCTTACTATTTGTTTGTACATGTATCTGGTTGATTTTAGGAGTTATTTGTGGGTGGTCGATGAGGCCTGATGTACTGTTCGCTATTTTTTTATTCAAGTTATCCTTTTTATGTATCACTTCTTTTTTCTTTTTGTCCTCACCTTCTGAAGATGAAACTTTAAAGCCATTTTACTGTGAAATACCTACCAGATCATCAAATATATCTTTCTGATGGATGTGGATCGTAATAGATGTTTCAAACTTTATTCTTTCAAATGGTGTAAGTTCTTTGGTCGTCTGTTCAATGAGGGTGTTCAATAACTCCAGGAAGGCTTGGTTGGTCTGCTGCATTACCTTACGGTCATGTCGTGCATTTGTCAAGGCCTCTGTGGCATCTCTGGTCCAGATCATCTGCAGACCCAGTATGCCAACCTAAAGAATAGATACACATCCATGTAAATGTGACTTAGTTATACATTTGTTAACATTTACAAGACAAATAATTTAAATTCATATGTATATATCTATAACATGTACAATTCTTTATTTTAAACAGGTCTAATTTGCCTGGTGCAAAAAATCAGTTTTAATAGTACACATGTATTCTACATTTAAGAGCGATATCTACTTATAATAAAAAATATGAACTTATGACTGTGTTTAGTTTTTTCAGCTTAGCTGAGTTAATCAAATCTCATTACAAATCTGATATTCAAAATTCTATATATAGTTCTATCAAAAATTCCAGACCACAAGGATGACATCAAAAACTATTACAATGATGATATTTAATATATCCGTGAATTTTGAAAGGTTTGTTTAGCACTCATAATGCTTTCAAAACTAATTTTAATATCTGGTTGCAAATTTTCTACGTAGGTCAATCTAAAATTACAATCTGACAACCTAGCAAATTCAGCATAATTAACTGGTATCCAGTAGTTAACTTCAAGAAGAATAAAATCAATAAACAAACCTGTGCAGGGAACATGTTTAAGAACTCCAGCAACTGGAAGCTGGTATCCTGTGTTGCCATGGCAGCAGTTCTAATGACACCATGGAGAGATTTATGGGCCATAGTCATCAAGGCCATCAGCCAAACTTCTACATTACCCTCAGCTTTCACATGTTTCTCCAGCTGAAACACAAATTTTTATCTATTATATTGTAAATTTAAGTCTCATAAAACACACAGTTATCTATTAGATTGTAATGATAGTCTCACATGTGAAAACCACCAATTTTTCTAAGCAGTCTGTTTAAGTACAAAAATTTATAAAGTAATAAGTCCAGATTTTCATAAAATTCGGAGACTTTCTTTTCCTATCAAAATTAAGACCAACTTCTCTTAAAATATTTGTTCATTTAATATTTTGTACTCTACATAATTTTGAACAAATTCTTTTTTGCTTATTGTGTCTTTCCTATTAATCTGGGAATCCACAAAAAAATTTATGACTAATATGCAAAAATAAATACATTTTTGTATCCATACACAAATATAAGTGTTTTTATAAAGTGTTTCTTTCTTATCTATAATTTTGGGTATTGTGAACTAATGTGTTTGTTATATTCATTTTGTGATTAATTTTCAATCTCCTTCATAATGTATCAACTGAATGCTGTAAGATATTATTGAAAGCAATGAAAATGCTGCAATACATCTACAACAGAGAGAAAAGTGAGAATAAATAATAAATTCTACTTACATCAATAGTTTCTCCCTCTGACGAGTGGATGGAGAGAATCATATCATAATGTTTCTCGTGGAACTTGACTGTCTTGATGTTATCAAAGACTGACAACAAATGAGCCTGAATTGTGTGTGGATCGCTGGCCTGACCCAGAATCTCTAACAAAGCCGGGTCCGACACGAAGAAGAATCGAGGGAACAACAATCTCTTCTTTTCCAAGTATCTGAAATGGAATATTGATACATTAAAATTAATGTCTAACGTAATGATTTTACTGTAATTTCAGCTTTCATAAGATATTTTTATAAGGAGGACCTTTTCTCTTTTTTGTAATTAAGTATCATTTACTGGATTTGCACAGCAAGAAACTAAGTTCTTTTCTTAAATGCATGAAAACAAAAATCATTTTTGTTTTAAAAATTAACCACTCTTCATTTCTCTAAGCTTATAAAAGCTTTACTAATTTGCAATTACAGGTATGTAAAAAGAGATGTGAGTATTTCTCAATCAGAAAGCAAGCTAAAAAAAAAAAGCAATCAAGCGTTTCAAGATAAATTAACAGAAATAGTCAGTATCTGCATGCCATTACTTTTGGCTATTCAACACTTTCATAGAATGTGTCAGTAATTTCCAGTTTTATTTTGTCTTAATTTAAACTTACCCAGTGAGAGATTTCTGACAAAGTTCTAACTGTTCCAGTAAATGGGGAAGTAATTGCATGAGTGTCTCATCTCCCACACAGCACTGTACAACATTTGGTGTCTCATGGGCTCTGGTCATTATCTTAATCCAAGATTTGTCTATGTTGCTGAATCTTTTGGCTTCCTGAAATCATAGTTATACAGTTATTCACACCTCATATAAAATTTATGAACCCTTTCTTTCTTGTTTATATGCCTCTGTGAGTCAGGATTAAAACAAGAATGCACACATTGTTGTGCTATGCATATCCATACTCATTATTCAAAGTAATGGAAAACAGGAATTAGGTGTCTCACAGATACAAAAAGCGCTCACATGTTAGAACTTATCACTTTCAAGCTGCTGACTAAATTTGGAGTCATTCTATTCAGTAGTTTTTGAGAAAAGTGTGAGAAAAATATTTGTTCTTGTTCAACATGTTGAAAAATTCTACATTGACAAACAGGAAGTAGGTTTCCTACAGATCCAAAATGTGCTCACACTTTGCAACTCATCATTGTGAAGCTGATGACCAAATATGAAGTCACTCTGTTCACATATAGATACCGGTAGATTTCAAATGACCTAATTAGAGTCTGAGTTATTTCCCTTGGCTTGATAAACTTTTGGAAGGATAAACAGTTACATTTCTTATTTGACTTCAATTGAAACATGCGATACACCAGTGATAAGAGATCCTTACTAGATCATAGTGATGAATTAAGCAAGGCTAAAAGAAATGAAATTTGTTCAGAAAAACCTTTTTTTCAAGTCTAGTGGTCAGTATAACAAGTTGAATTTGGCTGATTTATGAAGGAATTTGCGTACTTAGACCTCAAACATGGCAACACAAGGGAAGTAACTCTTGCTGACATTATATCAACGGATACCTTTTTATTGAAATATTCAAAGTATCTGCAAACAGGAAGTAGATGTCTGACAGATTCAAATAGTTCTCACATGTTACAACTCATTTCTGACAAGCTGCTGACTAAATATGAAGTCGTTCTGTTCAGTGGGTTTATAATTACAGAAATTCTGCTTAAAATATCAAATTTAGAAAAATATGTAAAACCCACAGAAAAACTGTAAAATTGAAAAGCATAGCTTTGAATTGTTTTTTTTTTTTCTTTTCAAGAAAAGGAAATTATTCCTTCAATATTAATAGCCTGACTATATATATTGCTCATTTGATGAAGCAGGGGCATAAATTTGTCGTAATTTGCTGACCTTTGGTAACTGTTTGGCAATATCACCACCAACAAAGACAGCCTCTAGATAGACCCATAGATTCTGTACAGTCATCCAGTTCTCTATGATTTCTGATGAGTTTGTTAGATTCTGTACCCATGTCTGAATCTGCTTCTTGAATGGTACATTGTATCTACAAATGTCATACAAAAAACAGGTTAGATTAAGATTCTGTACCCATGTCTGACTTTACTTCTTAAATGGTACATTGTATCTTCAAATATCATACAAACCACGGGTTAGATTAAGATCTTGCAGGATAACGTTCACTGTTAACTTTGATAACAGATTTGTATAAATGGAGTTAAAATGTTGTGATTTAAGTCTTGTTTAAAGCTTTAAAAATTGTTATGTATATGTTATACTTCTAAATCATAATTTAAAAAAGTAATGATAAAAGCAATATGATGTATATAACTGGTTATTGTAAACAAAATATAACAAAAACATTCAAGAACCTGGGGCTTTTTTCACAAAAAATCTTACAGCAAAAATTGATTGTAAGTTATACTGAAATCTTCGTGACTTACAAGTATTTTTTCGTAAGATTTTTTGTGAAATTAGTCGTAGGAATAATGTGATGTGAAATGTGGTCAAGGGTAAAAATAACGGGAAATAATTCAAACAAATATGGAGTGATGAGATTCGGTAAGGCCAATTCATAATTAAATAGCTTTCACACATTTGCTGTTTTTTCTTCAAATATTTTTCCAACAAAAATCAAAATTCATATGATGGACACATACAGATAGTGAATGAAAAATAAAATGGCAAAATATAATAATTGGATTTATAGAAATTCAGTCAAATGAAAATAGTGTCCTTGTAGGATTACAACAACATGCTTTATACCTCAGGATAACATCGCCCCTTCTGATACACTTAAAAGTACAACTAATATACAAAAAAAAGATGAAAAATTTCTTTTGCATAGAAAACATATATTTGAAAGATATCAAAATTCATTTTTTTTTTAATTTTCTAGTGAGACAAATAGATATGCAGACAACATAGTTTTTCCTCACCTTTTGCATAGAACTTTTTCCTTCCAGGTATTTATTACTAAGTTGGACTAAGTTACTTCCCAACTAACTTATTGGAATACAAAATTGACTATTGATGTTTACAGTTATATATTGATTATACAGTTAGAATTATTAAAAAAGGGATTTTAAACAAATGTACTAGATCATGTATGTACCTGTTACTCATGAGGGAGCTGAGAACCATAAGAGAATCTTCCATGTTGGTAAGGATTTCTTGAGTCGTGTCTCCACGGAGAAGTAGCTCTCCACGATTCTTAAAGTTACCAAATCTGAATTCCTGGTTGTTCCAATCAGCTATGACTTGTTTCAGTTTGGCTTCAATGTCTTTTTCCTTTACAGCTGAGATACAGATGTCCTGTAAATAAATAATTGTTTTTAATACCCATATTGTTTTGTGTGAAACTAAATGTTGTAACTGTTTTACACAATAGTATATGAATGTGCAGTTCAGTCACATTATGCATCTTTTTTTAAATTTAAACATATTACATTCTTGTTCCTTAGTCTCTGGTGGATACATGTCTCATTGGAAATAATATCACATCTTCTTAAATCAATATAGTTATCAATTCTCATATACAAAACATTTAAAAAAAAAGATATATCTGTTAATATTTCTTTGATACAAATCAGTCTTAAAAAGAAACATTCCTTTTCATTTTTTTGTCCCTCAATTTTGGAATATAAATACCTCGATATCTTCTTTAAACTGCAACAGAGGAGCTTCTAGAATATTCCTCAACTGGAACGTCTCACTTTCTACATCAAAGACATGACCTGTGACCTCTGCCATTCTAGCCCAATGACGAGGCTTCATGGCCTTGTTTGTCATCAGTTCTAACAAAGGAACCATGTTGTTGAAATCATCAATGGTGTTCTTAAGATCGTCAAATGCTGGCCAGTCTTTGAGGGCTTTGGGGAGCTTTCTACACCTATAAATAATAATACATGCATGATTTGAGCATTCAGGAATTGTTTCATTTCATACCTAGTATTCTTTAGCTACCAATTAAAAAACATGTTTGTTCAATAGTTAAACCTATGCTAAAACTTTGCTTTATCATTTAACAATTAAAATCTTAAATCAAAAACACATTTCTATCTACAAGGAATTACAAACGTGAGAGAATACATTTCAATAAAGTTTTGCTCAAATGCTATTCTTAAATGTGTGACATGTCAGAAAATGAAAATATATAGTAAATGTGTGACATGTGAGAACTTGAATATATATACAGCAAATGTGCAATAAAGAAATTGTAACTTTAAATAAAAAAAAAATATCAGAATACAGAACCAAGTTTTAAAACTACAAGCTGTATTAACAACATACTTGTTTTGGAACTCAAGCAGTTCGTTGTTGATTTTTTCGATGTTGACATCTACCCAAAGAATATCATAATATCCATGTACAGTCTCCAACACATTGTTGTACAACCCATATAATTTTTGCAGCAGATTTAATTCCTTTTTAATATTGAGTAATTTAGGATACTCTGTAACAGGCAGGCCAAACAGTTCTTCACCACCAGTGTAGGTGATGTATTTCTTATACAAAATGTCAAAATTGTTCTGGAAAATGACAAGTCTGTCAGAGGCCTCTCTAGGTGCTACACCAGGTACCATAGGTCCAGCCTACAACATATATTTACACAAATGTGTATCATGAATGATGAATGGATCTATTTTTCAAAAAATGTTTAGGAAACTAATGCATTCTGGGTAATATTTTCAAAAAACCTACACCAAAACAGTGTGATTAATTAACATCTAAAATGATAGAAATTGTACCAATGATGAATCTTAAAATCTTTAAATTTTATTTTGTAGGTAGTCTAATGACAAACCTGTGACAAATTTTTTTCTCTGAGCCAAACCATGCATTATTTTTTCTAAAAATTGAGGTTCTGTGGGTTCAACATAATATGTGGATTGCAATTTTCTTAGATTTCCTGGGTATAGGTTAACAACATAAGATGTTCAACGAGGTATAAATTGTCTTCACGCTTGTATGCAGACATTGGCAAAACCATGACATCAAATAATGGATACAAATGTGGGATTTATTATTACGATTTCAGGAAATCCTACTAATAATAATAATGTTATCAAAATTTGAATTCTGATCTCAGTCGAAAGGTATCCTGTCTGTATTTTCAATCTGAATTAACCGTTTATGTTAACAAATTTAAACTTGATGACTTACCGTATCATAACCACCACAGAAGTCATCACAATCACCAATGAACGTTTTAACATTCTCAATCAGTTCTGATTTAAACATTGGTTGTACTTCTAGGAGTGTTGTCTGCACCTCAGCAGCCTGTGCCTGCAGTTTCTCCCATGAATATCTCAGTGTGTCACATCTCTCCATCTCCTCTTTGTTTACAGGCAATTCATGTTTGTTTAACATGGCATAGGATTCCTACAAAATGTTTGTGTGAGAGCACTTACAATATTGACATATCCAAGGGGCATAAATCCCTAAAAATATACAAAATCAACCAATCCTAGATATTACTGATATTTTTTACAAAATCTGCTGAAAACTGTAGGCATGAAAGCATTTACTATTTTCGTACGAATAGACAGAAGGCTTGAAGGACAGTAGGACATCAACATTTAAATATCATTTGCTACTACTCATAGAATGCTACACATCACCCCCAGAGGACAATAAAATAATTTAACTTAAAAATAAAAAAATATCTAATAAAACTGACATTCTAAATCTCAAATGAATTGGACAACTAAATGACTATTACACATATCATTTATTACCTCAATTGGAGTAATTCCCATATCAATTCTGATCTCACTCTCTCTGATATCCTTCAGTGAACCCATGGCATATCTTATGTCATCCAGGTCTTTAAGAGGTCGTGACAACCTCTTATTCAGGTCCTCTATAAACTCAAACATTTCCTCCATCTCTGAACTGTATTTCTGATTACAAGCCTTGCCAAAGTGAACTCTCCATTGTTTTGTTTCAATAGTCAAACCAAGTTTTAATTTTTCTGTAAAAATAATTCCATTTTTTTTAAAAGCTGGTATTATTACCTTCATTTACATCTCATATTTTACCTGTTACCTTTGTAAGAATTTTTGGGTTTTTTTTTAGGTTCAAAACAGTCAATGACATTAGTCTTCCCAAGTTTCACTTTCTATTCAATAACTGACCATGCTTAGCACATGCACAATAGATCTCTGACAGGTCACATTAAAGGTTTGATCAAAATGAAGTAAAATTAATGTATTGCAAGAGAATTATGTATCAGTAAAGTTTTTTTTCAACAAACTGAATGCTAAGTGCATAAACATATACACCAGACTTATATTCTCATTATTTTTTTCCTCAAAAAGGCAAATCCATAAATAGTTAGCAAAAATTGGTTAACAGTATCCTTGAAAGCATGTGGTAAACATTGTAATTTTGAAAAACTGTTTCATAAATTCATTGTTAAAATAGGACCTTTTGTAAAGAGTGTCCTATTTTTGTGTGCCATTCATAAGTTTTCAGTTTTACTTTTATGTTAAATCCCCCCCCCCCCCCCCCCTTTCCCTTAAAAATATTTTAAAATTCCAATGTTTTACCTGTGTACATTCCAATAGGTCCAACATCATAGTACTCAGGAAGTGCATTAATCTGGATTTCCATTTCTTCATAATGTTTTATCTTAGCTTCATATTCAGACAGCTTAGGATTTTCTTTGTTGAAGTTCTCCAAATCTTCATCTCTATCTACCATCCACACAGAATGGAATTCAGAGAAATGATCCAAAGCTGTTGTCACTTCCTGTAAGAAAAAAGAAAAAGTTCAAAAGAAGTCTATAAATACGATCTTTTTCAATATTGCATATCTGTTTAAACATTTGAAACACTTACAGAATGTAGTTCTGCTTTAAGTTTTGTATACCATAAGACAATAATTATTGTCAACTTTATAATTCTTTTTGTGTCCAACACAAATACATATAGACCAGTCGCTAAATCTACATCATTTGGTTTCTTGTGGATAGTTGTGTCATTGACAATCATACCACATTTTTAATTTAATAATGTATGCAGAATTGGTTAAAACCGCAAAAATAACTACACAAGAAAAATACATTTTTTCTTCAATCCAAGAACATAAATGAATCCAGTTTATAATATCAAAAAAATTAAATACCTTCATTCAGTGAGGACAACAGATTAATGTAAATTTAGAAATGATTGTGAGGCTTTTATTAATGCGAATAATGCAACTTTGTGATTATCGCAATGATAAGAACTCACATTTTGATAGCTGATGCGGATATCTGTATGCAGATTTCCCTGAAATCACAATAATTAATCTCGCATTTTTTTGTCCATTCTTCAAAAATCGCAATCATGAATGCATGCCATAATTTCTGAATTTACAGTATAAAAGACATTTTGCCAATAACTTGCTTCACAAAACAGTATCTTACCTTCTTAGTAGAGTTGATGGCCGTTGACAACTGTGACTGGAGTTTGGAAACTTCTTTGTTCTCTGAAACAGCCTTGTAATAATTCTTGGGTTGTTTGTGGATGGTGTAAGTCTGGACTGCTGTCTCATCGTCTTTCTTAGCATGGTCCACCTCATCCACTGGACATACACTTGCCATACTTGGTCTACGCTCCATGTTAGACATCATTGTGTCCTGTGGCTGAAGACCTTTGTGCCACTTACTGATTCCTTTGCTAACGCTGACCACAAGTTGAGCAGCTTTGTTAACAGCTTGTTGGACCTCGTCCAAAGCAGGGGACATAACTACGTTAGGAATAGCTAATACAGCATATGCCTTAAAGAATGGCTTGGTTTCTTTTTTGTCTTTCTTGTCTCCATAACTACCAGAATCTGTAAAATCAGGTGTTCAGTATAAAATATTTATGTACATAAAAAAAAATAGTGGGGGGGGGGGGGATGTAATTTGTCTGAAACTAAAAAACACTTTCATATAAAAAGTCCAGAAATTAAATCTTTCTTTTTCCATATGTCAGTTCAACACTGCACTTGATTTGGAGGTATAGTTTTAGTTTTATATGAGGGGTAAACTATTTGAAAATTGAGAGTCAAAGAATTAATTTTGGACAGCCTATAATGTTAATAATTTAAAAAAAAACAACTGAAAACACATTATTAATTTCATGCGTTCGAAGCGCTTTTCTGGATTTACCTTCATCAGGAATGGTTTTTCATTATGACAACATGCAATGCAAAAAAATAAAACATAACAATAAAATTTATTATGAAATTTTACTTTATTATGTGGAAAATCTAAAGTCCCAAACTTAAAATGCAAATGAAATCAATCTTGGACAAACTGGAAAATTTAAATCGACAAATAAGAATACCTTGATAGATTGATAGTTCAGGAGTAAGCAAACCTTTGGATTGGAAGAATGATTTCAATAAAAACAATTACCCATATAATGTAACATAGAACTAGAAGAGATCCTCTTCTTCAGAGACTCCAGTGTATTCCTTGTTACTTTCATGAGAGCATCTTGGTTTCGATGTTCGAAGTGGGCCAGTAAATCTCCAGCTGCCTCTTCTAAATTCTCTCTCATTTCTTTCTTCTTCTTAGCTATGGCATTAGCTTTAGATGATACAGGGCGTGACTTCCTGCTGTTGGAGCGACCCATTGCTGAACCTGTTGGGCTGCCATCTCGGCTTCTATCATGTTCTGAAATGTTAAAATAAGTAAGTAATATTATGAAAAGTACATTTATTTGATGTGTAAGGTAAAAACAATATATTTTGGTTCAGGATGACATCTGTTTTCAAAATAATTGTTTGGAATATAGCTAGAAACAAATTTTCTATCTTTTGGCAGGTACTTTTGTTATAAGGCAAAATCTATCCTAAACTTTGACAATCACAAGGTCGACGGAAAATTCTTATTCTTCTTGTTTATAACATATCCTATTTTAAGATAAATACTGTATTTGTCATTCATTATATTAAATATGCAATATAAACAATGTTCACAACTATAGGAAAAGAAAAATACACAGACATATACACTTAAATATGATATATATACATTATTTTGTTACACAAAAAGTATTTAAGGCATTGATAATACAGATGAGAATTAGAATTGAAAAAAACCACAGTTATCTCCCCTTACCTATTCCTTCATCTTCATCTTCTCTTTCTTTTTCTTCTTCTTCCTCCTCCAGTTCCATAGTACATAACATGTTAATTAACTCATTAGAAGCTTCTTCAACAACCATTGACTTGGTCTGTAGGGCCTGTGCTCCTTTAGCACACAACATCTGTATAAAGCAAAACAAATCATTAGGACTTCAGTCTAGTTATGCTAGTTTAGTGTTCAAATTTTAAGGAGGTTATTTTTTATCAAAGAAATGATCCAAGGGGTTCAAATTAGTGTGGGTCTAAGGGTTAGGACCTGTCTTTTCTGATTTTTTAATTACTAAAGTCCATATCCTTAACATTGATGATTTATACAGGACCTATAACCTTGTTTAGGAGGGATTTTCACTTCAAAATTATTTGGTTTTGGACCTTTCATTCTATAACGAAAATTTGACTCCCTGGAACTTTTTTTCTTTTTTGTTGTTTTAGTCTCTTGATAATGCCAATGGCTTATCTTCTTTATTTATTTTATCCATCAATAATCTTTCTATGATACTACATGTTCAGTTTTACATTTAAAGTTTCTACAACCAAAGACTTAAGGTAATAAGCAGGGGTTCAAAACTCTGAAATATTTTTTGGGCCTATGACTTTTTAAAAACTTTTATTCTCTCATGTTCAATTTTGCTCATTTAAAAGGTCTACACAATTTGACAGTAAACACACTGCTTATTACTTGTTCACACAATTTGTATATTTTGTAAAATTTCCAATGTGAAATCATGATGGTCCTCTCAAAGCAACAAGACTTGGACCTGTACATTTTTATCCCTGTTCATCTGTTGTAGATGTTTTTAGGTTTTATTCATAATCTATGTTTCCCACATTGAAGATCCCTTTTTAAATTATTATCCACATCCTAGATTTTTTAGAGTTTTATTACTTGAGACGATCCATTCAATTTACCTGTGTATTTTCTAAGAATTTTTCCACAGTCCATGGTTCATCTTCAGGTAACTGACACAATGTAGTTCCTGCCATTTCTTTCAGTACAGACTCGATACGGAACTCATTCACATCATGAGCTCTGTCCATCAGGAGTTCTAGATCAGCTAAGGTTTTATAGACCCTGTCCATGTATTCCTGAATGTTCAGAGAAGTCCAGCTTAGTTTGATTAGGCCTGGTTCCAGAGCAGTGTCCACTTTACTGATGTGTGGACCCATTAAAGCTTCAAAAGCTGTAGGTATCTTACCCTTCACTCTCTGTGTTTCTTGAAGCATCATCTAAAACAGAAATACTTTTTTAAACCACGCTTGTACTTAATATTTACATGTTTACAGTTCCCAAATTTGAAATCCTTTTTCTCTAAATATTGAACACCCCTCCCCTCAAATAAGTTATTCTTGAAACAGCCTAAATGCAAAACTAATCCTTTAATAAATATATGAATAAAGACCTGCATTTAAATACAGCCCTGCACAAAAATATAATTTAGTAGAGGACCTTCCCTAGAAGTAAATATTTTACCTGCAGAGCATTGTAGTGGTCTTTGTACTCTGTCTGTTTAGCTCTCATAGTCCTAGCAAGCTGAGGAATCTCTAAACCTAACCTCGCCATACATTCGGTCTCTCTGATCATAGTCAAAATCTGAGGGTCAAAGTTCACATAGAGTTCATTTGATTCTGGATGTCTGACTAACACTGATGACTGAAGTCCTGAACGAGCTGCTTCAATCTACAACAGTAAGGATATCTTAATAGATAATTATTTTTTTAACTAACTTTTTTAGACATTTTCATTCGCATAATTTTTTCTATTTTCTTGTAGAAGTCATATTAAAATGTCTCCTCTGCACAAATTGCTGTGATATCTTTTCTACTATGTCTGTTTTTTTTCTTCTTCAACCTATACACTATGCATTCATTATTTGTATCAGTACAAATTTTTCTTAGATTGAGGAAAGTTTTCATTTTTGTGGTAATTTTAACAAAAGCAGCATACAAGCCTATAGGAATTTTGTATATTGTTGATTCTTAAATTCTTGGTTCAGCTATATCCACAAAATCCAAAAAAACATAGAATACAATGATTAATAATGAATTTGCATTAAATAATTGAAGACACCTAACAATCTGACATTTGAATCTATGTATATACTAACCTGTCTTAGCCAACCTCTATGATAAAGGACTTCAAACTCTAACAGACATTTGGCCAATTTGTTGTAGTTTTTAATAATTTTCTTGGCATCATTTCCTTCCAAGAGTCTGGGTTGCTGTTGGAATATCTCCATAGGCTCCTGAATACGACGGAACAACTGGCGGGCCCAGGATATTTTACCTAAACAAGAAATTTATTCCAACGTTGATAAAACAAGCACATTTTTTGTAATTAACCATACTTAAAAGCTAAATATTTTCTTTAACAGTTAATTGGAGTTTTTACTTTGCATAAAGGTACATAAAAAGAGCTGGATTCTTGTTTATTAAACTATGCAAAATATTACAACTAAAGAAATGTTAAAACATAAATCTTTCATCAAATATGATAGCTTTTTTTAAAAAAAAATGTCATGAAATAATCTATAATTCCAGTATCTAATTCAAAAATTAGAAATGAAACTGGCAAATCAATTTACAAAACCCTAAGAAAAATAAATCAAATGGCTCATCTATCTACACAATGTACAAAATCTTAAGAACTAGAAATCCAATTCTTGTGCCTTACTATTTACTACATTTTACATTTAAAACTACAAAGTGAAACTCTGAACTACAACAAATACCTTAACATTGCCAAAAAAAACAATAAAATTCTGATCACAAATACAAAAATAAATGACTGACTGACCTGCAATTGGTGGTAGATCTCTAGCAACAGGAGGATCATTTTTATTTTTCTGGTAGATTTTAGACACCATCTCAATATCCCTTCCGTAATGACTTAAGATTCGATGGAATTTTTCATTAATTCCAAGATTTGGTAAATCTAATTTCTCAAACTTCCTCAGCAACACTATTGCCCTGGTAGTACTGCTAATCTTCTCAAATTTGTTATCCATAAAAGTCTGGAGGTTAGCCTAAAATTTACAATTTTGAATTCAGTATTTAATTAAAAAGTGCAACAGACCCTTTTGTTCAAAAATAAGGCCAATGGTCTGAAATAGCATTGGAATTACAAAACAATACACCTTACAATAAAGTTTTATCATTATACACTCACTATACAAGGTGTATGATCACGTCTCAAATCTTATTGTAAAATTGTATTTATGGAAGGATGTTCTTTGGTAAATTTAAAACATAATGAATTTAAGGAAATAGTGGTTATATTTGAAAGACACTTGGTAAAGAGTTACGTTTAACCATAAAAAAAAATGTTATGCATATGTTTTATTAAATTTAAGAATTTAAACATTTGTCTGGAAAAAGGCCTTCTCCAGCTTTTTCATATATTTTATAGAGATGTTTTCACTGTCAAAATCTGACTAAATCCTTATTATATCTGTGCAACACTTCAAATGTTCATACCAAAATCTAATACACATGTAAAATTATCTGTATCCGAAGACAGGGAACAGATCTAAGTGGTTCAAACTAAATATACATGCTGTACCAAGTCAGGACTATCACAGATATTAAACATTTATTCTATGTTTTAATCCTTTCATAAATTGATCCAAAATTTTAAGAACTAAATATTAAATCAAATAAATATCTACAACTATCTTTTTTCACTCAAAATGAGTGTAAAACTTGGTATGATGTGCTATGAAACATACGTGTAGTTCAGCAACCATTCTTTTGAACTCATCAAAATCAGTATCAAATTCCTGTTTTCTCTGATCCAGAAAATCATACAATTTCTTTTTCATTGCAGTTATGATCACATTAAATCTGTTGGCCATTTTGTCAATCTCTGTAAACAAAAAATATATACATGGTTTATTTTTATATCTAGTGCTACTTCAAAGTTAAAACCAATATATAATATTCATTAGAACTGCATCTGCATTTACTTTTTCAGGAAACTAAATACAAAAATAATTTAAAAATATGTTTTTCCAATTTTTTTTTATAAATTTCATTTGTTGGTAAGAAAAAGCATTTTTTGTGTTTTTTTCTTTTGCATATACATTTTTTTTCTTTTAAATTCTTCAATTAATCGCCAGCAGTATGAAAATACAAACCTTCAATTTTAGATTCAGACAAATGAGAGTACAGAGAAATGGTCTCGAACATTTCAATGATCTTTTTCAATCTTCTTGTAAATGTATCAAACTTTCCAAAAATGTACATCTCTGAGAATTCAAATGGACGTTCATTTGGCATCTTCTCCAACTTTTCCTTAGTTTTATGGAAGCATCGCTGATATTCTTCATTAAGTTTGATGCAATCATTGAGTTTCCTGACAACATCCTCCTGTTTCTGTGTCCATACAGTTTCATATCCACCACATGAGATGTAGGACTTACAGGCTGTTATCATCTGATTGGTGATCTGAAATGTAAACATGATTTGAAAGAGTGGAAACTATGTAAACACATAGAACAGACCAACTATCAAAGGAACCTTTATACCCATCAAGACATTTTCTATAAGGTGGTCAATAATGAATAAAAAGTCATACCTTATATATAAGCACTTTCAATTCATTTGGTGGTCAACACAAGATTTTGAAGGTGACATTGATCAGATAATTTGCATTCAGTATTATGATCTGTCAAAGAAGAACTGCTTATTCACTCGAAAAAACTGCAATTTTAACCATATTTCAGATGACTTCAAACCTGGTTTTAGAAAATTAGAGTATAGCTTCAATAGAGTCCAGTCTTTTCTTTGTTATGATTTTGTGGCTTGTTCTGTCGTCTTTTTTTACATCATGTTCATACAACCCTTTGCCTTAAGTTTATTATCTTTTCTTCCGTTTATTTTTTGTAGAACTAGTTACTCCACATAGATTTTAAATGCATGCTAGGTCAACGTAATGCTGTAAAACTTACCTTGACAAATAGTGATGTCATACGTTCTGATGTATTATAGTATCTGGAGATAGAGTGAATCATCCGGATAGCATTGATCAAACCTGGAATAGCATCCAACATGCCAACCTAAAATTAGAAATATCTGGGTAAATGGCTTAATTCTAAAGGTGCCAAATTAACCAGCAGGAAAAAAAGTTTTGAAAGTTTATTAGAATTACTGTACAATTAATTTTCTTGTGGTTTATATCATACTGGAATTTAGATATTTCAAACCTTTATGCTGCATTCTATGAAACCAAAAGACATCATCAGAAAATGAACAAATTTTGAAATTTTTTCCATCTTTTCATGATGATTACAATTCAAACTAGGCCTATAAAAGCTGAGAATAAGTACATTTCAACAGCAGCATACATTGTTCACTCTCTTGGAATACTCTTTGCTTTTTCACAAAAGTGTACTATAAACCAACAACCAGTAATTTTTATAAGACTTTTTTTTCAAATTAAGTCTTTTCTAGTTGAGTCTGCAGAGATTACTTTACTCATTTTTTTTTTAACTTTCTTGACCTCTTTAAACATGGGAAGACCAAGGCTGACATATATTGACAATCCAGTTTTTCAATATTTTTCTACTCGTGAATGTCTGTAAAATTAATCATTCACAAAATTAATTAGTTTATAGTAAATGAAAAATGAATTGAGTTTGTGTTGTACACACACTTACTGGATCACTGTTGTAAAGTGGGTCACAGAACTTCTCCAAGGTGTACAAAAACTTCACATTGTCACGAGCTTCATTGGCTAAGTCAGTCACACGTCTGTCTAATTCTTGCCATCTCTGCAAAATGTTGAAACAATGTTATTACTTTTTTTTTAAGAAATTAAGACAAATAAGTCCGTAAACTTTACTGCGATTTTTTTATATAGAAAATATAATAACATTAAATTATCTTTTCAAATATCTATTTAAGGAATGACTGTAATATTTTTTCTGTCTATGAAGAAATAACATCAAAAATGTGGTTCACACTGAATAACCCGCGTAGCGGGTTATTTTAAAGTGTGCACCACATTTTTTATGTTATTTCGAATAGACAGAAAAAATATTACAGTCATTCCTTATAATTTAATTCTAAATTTCATTATAAACTGGAGTAAATCATGAAAAAACGTTGACGACGTAACGGTCACATGACAAAATTATGTCTATGAGCTGATAAACAAAACAACGTCAGCCAATCAGAAGATGTGTTACATCCAAAATTAAATTATAAAAAAATAATGATAGACATTGAACATTAAAAGTTTGATAACATTTTATCAAGTTGGGATTAATTGATTATAAATACTTTTCTCTAGTTTGTTTAGTTGTTTTGGAGTTTAGTATGGCGTTCATTATCACTGAACTAGTATATATATTTGTTAAGGGGCCAGCTGAAGGACGCCTCCGGGTGCGGGAATTTCTAGCTGCATTGAAGACCTGTTGGTGACCTTCTGCTGTTGTCTGTTTTATGGTCGGGTTGTTGTCTCTTTGACACATTCCCCATTTCCATTCTCAATTTAATTGTTGTTGTAATAGCTGTCAACACATATAAATATTTAACAGATATCCTTTACATAAAGTATAATAAGCTTACAGCTACAAGTTTGGATTTAGCAGCATGGAGAACACCAAGGACAGCTTTCACATCGGAACCCTTTATCTGGTCCAATAAATAATTAAACTTAGACATCCTTTTCTTCCAGTGGTCCAATTCAGCCCTAGGTCCAATGTCATCAGCCTCCTTCCTCATCTGTTCACTCTCGGCTAGGACTTGTTCCAATTGTTTCAGCCATACTCCCATGCATTGCTCAATACCCTCTAGAGCATCAGAACTGTTAGCTACGGCCTGGTAATCTGCAGGTGTGTTGATTTTTGACAATTCATATGTTTCACATGGTTTCAATTGTACTTTCTCTTCAAGGCTTTCTTGTGCACCTAGTAACAAATAATTTACTTTATACAACAGTCTAAAAGATTTTAATAACTTTGTGTTGAAAATCAGGAAAGTCAAAGGGCAAACCTTACATATTTTCAGGTACATTTACACACTTTGAATAAGCACTTAAAAAATCTCTTTTGAACCTTTACATCTGAAATAGCAAATGAACAGTTTCCTTTTTGTTTATTTTAAACACACTGAAAAATATACAATCTGATTAGTATTGAAACATATACTGTATATGTATATTTTCTTTTTTTAAACATATTGTTGAAAATTTAGACATTTAAACTGCTTGAAACTTTGTGAAAATTCTCTGTTGACCTCTAAATAACCTGCTTTCTATATGACAACAATCACCATGTTTTTTTTAAAAATCTTTTCCAAAGAAGCAATTCAAATTTGTGCATGAGTCCATATTTAAGATCAACCAGATTCCATTCCTTCTGTCACTGGACATTAAACAAGCAACAATCAATCAATCATTCTTTCTGTTCTAGGTATAAACACACTTACCAACAAGAACAGATACAAATGAGTCCAATGTGTTGAGGAAGTCTGTTCTGATCTGTATGCCTGAGGGACTGTCCAGATATAAACACACTTACCAACAAGAACAGGCACAAAGGAGTCCAATGTATTGAGGAAGTCTGTTCTGATCTGTATGCCTGAGGGACTGTCCAGATATAAACACACTTACCAACAAGAACAGACACAAACGAGTCCAATGTGTTGAGGAAGTCAGTTCTGATCTGTATGCCCGAGGGACTGTCCAGATATAAACACACTTACCAACAAGAACAGACACAAATGAGTCCAATGTATTGAGGAAGTCTGTTCTGATCTGTATGCCTGAGGGACTGTCCAGATATAAACACACTTACCAACAAGAACAGACACAAACGAGTCCAATGTGTTGAGGAAGTCAGTTCTGATCTGTATGCCCAAGGGACTGTCCAGATATAAACACACTTACCAACAAGAACAGACACAAATGAGTCCAATGTGTTGAGGAAGTCTGTTCTGATCTGTATGCCTGAGGGACTGTCCAGATATAAACACACTTACCAACAAGAACAGACACAAATGAGTCCAATGTGTTGAGGAAGTCAGTTCTGATCTGTATGCCCGAGGGACTGTCCAGATATAAACACACTTACCAACAAGAACAGGCACAAAGGAGTCCAATGTATTGAGGAAGTCTGTTCTGATCTGTATGCCTGAGGGACTGTCCAGATATAAACACACTTACGACAAGAACAGGCACAAAGGAGTCCAATGTATTGAGGAAGTCTGTTCTGATCTGTATGCCTGAGGGACTGTCCAGATATAAACACACTTACCAACAAGAACAGACACAAAGGAGTCCAATGTGTTGAGGAAGTCGGTTCTGATCTGTATGCCTGAGGGACTGTCCAGATATAAACACACTTACCAACAAGAACAGACACAAATGAGTCCAATGTGTTGAGGAAGTCAGTTCTGATCTGTATGCCTGAGGGACTGTCCAGCTTGCCCCACCCTCCATCTAGACTCTTCAGGGCTGGGATAAAGATACTGGATAGAAGATTTTCTACAGCATGTAGAAGACCACTACCATTTTTTCCTTGGCTGCTGGTATCCAACTTGGTGAAATTGATCTCCTGTAAATAATAATTCAATGCATTAAAACCACAGATTCTTTTACTAATAACAATTCATATTTTCCAACAATGTGCAATGTGGAAGTATGAAAGATAAAGTTAAAAACATATGGACCATAATAACAAAAAATAATGATTTAAATGGTTACTGGTTGATGTAAAGGTGAATAATAAATATGAGAAAACTATCTCTGTAATTGTGAAATAGGCAGTTTTCCTCTATGTATAAAGTAAAAATTTTATGGTACATCCTTCCACAGCTTAATTCTTTTTTTCTTTACCTAGATTCTAAGGTTTTCAATCATTCCTCTTCAACCATCAGTTTAAAATTTTTCACATTTTAGATCATTTAAAAAGTGTACATAGTACTTGCAGGAATTGGCAAGTTAACTTAAAAATCAAACATTTAAATTCTCAAAATTTATGAGACGTATTAAAGGTTCCGTCCAATTTTTCCACATTTCTTGTATATTTGTCAAGTTAAGAAGCTTCTGTCTGATGATAGAATTTCTGTAGACAAATAAACTTTTAACAGTTCTTTTGAACATATTTGACAAAGTGCTATAAATTTCTCCTATAATCAAGTGACTTACCTTAGAAATATTTTGTTCTGTTATATGTGCTCCAGGTTCTACCTTGGTAAACACCAGAGCAATTCCACGGAGAGGTGTATCTCGTCCGTTTGTAACAAACACTTTAGGTTTGTGAGATCTTGTAAACTTAGGTTGTGGTGGACCCACACGAATCTGTTCCACTGAAATAGTAAAAAAATAAAGTAAAAGGATGAACTTTCTATTAATTCTATAGAAAATGAAATTGTATATATACATATCTAAAGGTCACAATAAGGCCTTTTTGAAGAACAACTACTGTAAATACAGAAATGATTGTGTGCATTTATTATTGCGATTTATGAAGAAAGGACAAAAATGTAAGATTAATTATTACAATTTCATGAAAATCTGCATACAGATATATGTACCAGATATCAGAATGAAAGCCCACAGATATATGTACCAGATATCAGAATGAAAGCCCTTAAAATTGTGATACTCACCCAGTTGCATTATTCCCATTGATAAAAACCTTGTATTTATTTCTGATTTAACAGTACTTTCTACAAGCTTTAAACTGCCCTAACAATATGTGAATGAGAAGACAACCAAAGATGTGATGAGCACCAAAAATGGTTATACAGACATAAAACACTAAAAGACTACTACAACTACTGATGAGAATCGTGAAACATCAATCAGTCAAGCTCAAGTTATTCTTCTTTGCTTAGAAATACTGTAAATTTAAACGATTCTTTTCAACACTTTTGATCTTTTGAAAATGTCAAAGGGCTGATTTGGCATGAATTGGAATGAATGATTTATTCACTATTAGCTGGTATGGTATAGGCCAGCTTATGATATTTTTTGACAATTTCCAAACTACTCAGCATCAAGCTCTAGGCATGCAACTCTTTTGGCTACAGTAACAGAAATGTCATAATTAAGAATTCATGATTCTGAGTTACATGAAAACTGTATCACTTTTTTCACATCATCTCCTTTAGACAAAGTTAACATTAAATGGTTCAATTTATTGGTTCATTATCTCTTTGATTACATAGTATCCAAAGCAAAGTATTAATGAAATTTTCAAAGATTTTGACTGTGAGCCTCCTGTTGAAGTTTATTTACTCCAGGAAAGTGCTTCAAACAGCTTAATTATTTTTGTGTGCAATATTTATATTTATGATGATTTGTTTGGTTAAGATTTATATAATACACACGAATGAATCATGACAAAAAAATGAATGCTTCCCATAATGCTTCAATATTCTCCATTTTATATATGCACGTAAAGAAAAAGATAATTAAGAAAATATGAAGTTTCAATTTAACTTTTTTAATTAAAAAGTTCTACCTTTTAAAAGAAACTATTTTCTTGAGTATAAACAAATTATATGCACTTTTATCATGTAACATAATAAAAAAAACAAACAAATTATTTACATCTCTTTTACAGTTAATTAAAAAACTTTTGAATGTTAAAATGATAGAAGGATCACACTTGGGGTGTGAAATCTGAAGTGTGAATATCAATCATCAAAAACACAACGTGAAAATTAAATAAATAACTTCACCATATCTTACATGAAAACTTATGCTGTCCTGTGTCAAAATGTGCTGTGTTGGCTGAAAAAGTTTGACAAAACTCGTTACAGGTTTTGTAAAAAATAGTAATGCTGACCAAGATTTGTGTATGTACGCCTTGTAATGAGCTGATTCGAGTTTTGACTGTGCTAATGATAAATTAAATAAGGGAAAAAGCCTGAAATTTTATAAGTCCAGATCATAAAGATCAACAAAAATTGTTAAATTTCTCATCTCATCTCTAAAATATATAATAGAATTCAGAATGGAAACGGGGAATGTGTCAAAGAGACAACAACCCGACTAAAGAGCAGAAAACAGACCCCAAGACCACCAATGAGTCTTTCATACAGCAAGAAAATCCCGCACCCGGAGGATGGCTTCAGCTGGCCCCTTAACAATAATGTATACTATTTCATTGAAATGGACGCCACACTGAACTCCGAAACAAGTAAATGAATCAAAATTCTAAATTTTGATAATTACATTTATTATATATTTTTTAAAGTATTATAAGAATATGATGTTTTTACTGTAACCTAAGATACCAAACAGTAAATAGGAAGACCAAAGAACAACCTTCGATTTTAAATGAGAAAAAAATCCTTGTGAAATCTCCTTGCTTAAAGACTAAATAATGTATACAAATTACATAATGATTGGAGGGCTTATATTCATACTGTTACTAATCTGATCTATAAGAAATGATCACGCATAATACAAGTGTTACAAACTGTCAATTTCAAATGATTTTTTTGTTTAATAACCTTCCTAAATGCATTGTTACATAATCGTGTCGAGTAACTTGTAACAAATGCCTTAGATACCGATATCTCTTTGCACAAAAAATGAAATCATAAACTTTTTCGACACACTTCACTTGAACATGATATCAATTGTATAATTCAATAATACTGTGATATTTAATTTTATGTATGATCTTTTTATCACTTTCAAACAGGTAACCCGAGGAGAAAAAATTTAACGAAACAAGAATTTACACGTCTCATTGATACTAAACTCAACTGAAGAATTTATTGTTTAGGCCATATTTGCTTACACAAATAATTTAAATCGTTGAAAGTCAGGTAAAAGAACTAAGGTATTATGAAAAATCAAATCAAATTTAACCGCACTGCATGGATGTAAATATAAAATAAACAAAATGAGCTTTATTTACATAAATTTTATCTCGAATGTATACTTGAAGTTTAATTCATGTCATCTATTAGAATTACCATTATAAAAGGGTTAGTGTACCAAAGTTGTAGGACTTTTTTCTTATACTTATTCTTATTAGCAAAAATACACAGCTTCAATACTGACAATTCTATTTTTGTTTTAAAAATGCGTAAGAAAATGTCAAAATGTGACAATTTATTTCAGAGAATTTTATTTATCCTTTTGATTGTATCATTTATTCAGTGTTTTGTGAGCATAATAAAACAATGCATTCCCTTAAATTCTAAGAATAATTGAAATTTGACAAAAATAAACTGTACTACAGTGAGTGTTAGTAATTTCAGGGACACACATTTAATACCAGAGATTGGCAATATAAAAGTAAGAAGATGTGGTATGATTGCCATTGAGACAATTCTCCAGAAGAGACCAAAAGACATAGAAGTTAACAACTAAAGGTCACCTTATGGCATTCAACAATGAGCAAAACTGTTACCCCATAGTAAGCTATAAAAGGCCCAAAATGACAAATGTAAATCAATTCAAATGAGAAAACTAACTGCCTGATTTATGTACAAAACAATAAACGAAACACAAATATGATATACAGTAGCAAACGACAACTAGTGAACTACATAAGGATCCTGACAAATCCATTTCATAGACTATTTTCATATTACCGACTTTTGACTCTGGAGTACATATTTTTTCGACAGGTAACCTTTTCTGTGATAGACATTTTGGTACTCGGTCAATAAAGAGCAACTAAAAAAGTAAAATCGAGCTTCCAATGGGTGCAATTTGAGGGGGGAAAATATGAACTGTTTTATGTTATTTATACACAATAAATTCATCGAAAAATGTTGCAACAAATTGCACAAATTGTAAGCTTGATTTTACTTCTTTAGTTTCTCTTACTCGACTGAGTACCAGAATGTCCTATCACAGAGTAGGTACCCTGTCTTAAAATTATATACTCTGGAGTCAAAAGTCGGTAACATGAAATAAGTCTATTTCCATATAATATAATGAAATATCATAATTTCCCCATTAATTTTTCATGTACTGACAAATTGCTTCCATTTGATTTTTTTTCTCATTTTTACAATCTTTTAAGATATTTGTTTAAAATGTTAGGAAAAACACTACTTTAAAAATAATGATTTGATGAACAAAAATGGGAGATATGAATAAAGAGGGATAATCCCTTATTATCAGGTTTCTTTTTCTATTTCTATATAGGGGGCCTCGGTGCCTAGTGGTCTAAGTAGTTACTACTGTAATCACTAGCCAGTCAACACTGAGGTTGTGAGTTCGAACCCCGCTCGTGCAGGTGCACTCGAATCCAATCTTAATTGACTAGGATTGTCAGTTTTCCTATCGAATGGTTTTCTCCAGGCGGCTTCCTCCACCAATAAAAACTGGCCGCCACGAAATAGCCCAAAAGAGGTGCTTAAAAGTGGCATTAAAACACAAAAAAAAAAATAAAAAAATCTATTTCTTTTTATCAACTGGTCATAAACAATGATTTCCTCCTAATGACAACATACCTGTGTGTATTGATTGGTTTTTAATTACTATTCCCTACTGTCAATATTTATGTGAAATCAATTATTTGACTTTTATTCTATGATGTCAATTTGGGTCTATTGTGATAGGTACTTAATTTCATTGTTTAATTTAACCTCAAAATGCATAAAAACTGGGACATACAAATAATAAAACAACTTAATACAATAAAATGTTGACAGGACACTATCAGAAATGTATGTGTAAAACAACTCCATACAATTTTCTCTTCAGATTATGTTTATTGAATATGAGTTCAAAAAGTTATTGATGACAAATTATATGACCGAAAAATTACATTTTTGGAGAAATAAAGGTATCTTCGTGTAAAATGACATTTCTATAGTGTCTACCCTAAGATTTTGAAATTTTGAAAAGAATTGTTTGACAGCAACATTATTATATAAGTAGAAAAGAAGTGATAATAGATATTGAAAATGTGTGTATTGATATAACAAAATCTGATTTCATAGGAACTAACATTTTCTGTCAAAAGTGAAATGAGAAAATTTTCAGACCTAAATAAATATAAATGTTCCAGCTAGATTTTAAGATTTCACATCAGAACAAACAAAGATAAAATGACAGAATATGATTGATGTTATAATCTGAATATTTATATTTTTTGTCTAATAAAGAAAATGTGTATAAAATATTCTAGTCATTAATTCAAAGTAACACCACAATGAACTGACTACATTCACACATCAATATCTACTACTGATAAAAATTCACAACATCAAAGTATCATTCTTATAACTTCAATAAGATTTCTCATTCTCATTTTGTCATACATTTAAAAGAATACATTATAAAATTCTTTGAATGACACCATATTTGAAATAAAAAATAAAACATAGTTACTTTAGAAGATGTATTTGTTGTATAAGACCTATCATGACATCACTAGTTTTTATATAAGACCTATCATGACATCACTAGTTTTAAGTTCAATGACTAATGTTGGAATAGCAACAAAAATTCCCATGTCTTTTATTCAAAAGTCATATACTGAACATCAAAAATTAAACACAACTGTATTTCTAATTTTGACTTTAAATAAAGAGATATTATGTAAGGATCTCAAAAGACTTTATGAACCATATATACTATCTCCTGTGATTCTTATAAACACCGCTTAATGTTTCATACTAAAAATGCCCAAGTTAAAAAAAAAGAAGAAAGTAACAGAATGGTTTTTGAGAATTTCCATATTCAACTGCGAAATATCAATGACTTGAGGACACTATTGTAATTGTCAAAATAATTTGAGCATGTTAGGATAATCTGATTATTTTTTACAATGAAGAAATTAAAATCAAAGTAATGGTTATATGTCCACATGGTGTCTTGTATTTCTTAACATTACAAGTATATTTTGTTTACATGTAAACAAACATGTAACCATGTGTAATATTTGAATACACCATGTTCATTGAAGTAGACTAGAGATTAATTTCTTCAGTGATCTTTCTGTTTAAATACTTTTTAAATTTTCTATTACACAAATTAAATGTCTCTTTATGACTTTTAGTTCAAACTATTTTAAGCATATTTAAACACTAATATTCTTACTGTATGATTGTGAAATCACAGATGACTTTTGGAATTTTGGAATTATCTTTTTGAGATGTTTCTTAGCCCAATAAAGATGTGAATATGAGAGAAATGAGACAGTTATCCTTCATACAGTCATCTCTACCATGAGAGACAACTGTTTACAACTTCTGCACTGAAAATTCAATGATATTTCTTGCTTTTCTTTGACTCATTTGCAATTTTGGCCTTCTTTTACTTTAGGGTTCCCAAACCTTATAAAGCTATATATACTAAACTGACCCTAACCCAAAATGTAAACCTTACCCATACTTAATCCTAACACTAGTTTTAACACTCAAACCTAAGCCTAAAATTGAAAAAAAAACTAAAAAAAACATAACCTTAAATTAACACTTAACCTGAAGTGTATATAGGGAATTGACTAAATGTTTTGCTCCATAATATTTCTCAGCTAATTTCAATACAGAAATATTATAAACCCCAAAACCCCTAAACAGAGAATATTGTTCACCAGGAGTGATTGGATATATATAATTGGGAATTCCACATTCTTGAAATACTTGAACATAAATGAAACAAAACAGATTGGACTGATCAATCTTATGGGATAGCCAATGAAAACCAACTGTCATCCTTTCATTATACTTGACAAATCTTATGGGATAGCCAATGAGAACCAACTGTCACCCTTTCATTATACTTTTGTCTTGATAAAATACATACATGGTTCTTTTGGTTCTTCTGGTTCTTGGTAATAAAACAACAGCTGTCCTAAATCTTTGTTTCCATTCAGAAACTGGTCCATCATATCAATCTGAAAATGTTCATGTAAAAAATAATAATTTTTCTATTTATTAATCATGATAAAAAGATTTCGTCAATATCACACCCAATATATAAATAAAACTCTTCTCCACATCCCTACAGTACACCACATTTTAATCTATTAATTAATTACATATCATTTCAATACTGTGATATATATAGCTGTGTAATGATTCATCTTATTGCAAAGATTCATGGTTATTTTCCTCACAATTTGAGTTATGGTTTAAAGAGGGCCAATTATAGTACAAACAATACCCAAGTGAGTTTTCTCATTCTAAGAGACATTACCATCATTTTTATATGGTGTTAGCAAAAACATAATAAATGAGTTAAAAATAAATTCAATTTCAATTTTTTCTCTCCTTTTTAAGATACAATCAGTTGCAAAGATGACTTTTGTCTCATTATGAAAGAAAAGGGCCCCTTCAACACACGATGTTATTAGTAATCACAAAATGGCAGACATTGAAAAAATAATCTTAACAAAACATGCTGCACTATTTATTGACTCTCTCCTATCTCATACTATTTTACACAACCAATATATTGTATGAAACACCTCAACACCTCTATTTGAAATTTAAAAATTTCAAATAGATTTCCTTATAACATCCCAAATCAACTGAAGATCTCTGCATCAGCCAGGGAGTTCAGGGAGTTCAGGTCATCATTAGAGAGTTCAGAGAGTTCAGGTCATCAGGCAGAGAGTTCAGGTCATCAGCCAGGGAGTTCAGGTCGTCAGCCAGGGAGTTCAGGTCGTCAGGCAGGGAGTTCAGGTCATCAGGCAGGGAGTTCAGGTCGTCAGGCAGGGAGTTCAGCAGCCGGTTGTACGAACATGGCATTAGCCTAATGGTTCATTAAGTCTTCATTAAGCCTTTATGATGCATTAGGCTAATGAAGACGTAATGACTCATTAGACTAATGACACGTTCGTACAACCGGCTGCAGGTCATCAGGCAGGGAGTTCAGGTCGTCAGCCAGGGAGTTCAGGTCGTCAGCCAGGGAGTTCAGGTCGTCAGGCAGGGTATTTTAGGTCATCAGGCAGGGAGTTCAGGTCATCAGCCAGGGAGTTCAGGTCGTCAGACAGGGAGTTCAGGTCGTCAGACAGGGAGTTCAGGTCGGGCCAGTACTAAGGGTAATGATGACATCTAATATTACTTTTGTCATATAATGACTGGTAAAAAAACAAAAAAGTCAAGACCAACTGAGAGATCATAAAGTGTAAGTAAAGGTCATGTTTTTCTTGTGCAAAGGTATTCCTTTTTGAAACATAACAGAATATGAAATCACCTACGTTTTTCCTATATCATTCCATGCTAACCAAATTAAGACAGAATAGACAGCAAAGCCAGATGTAATTTCTCTGGATTCTTTTGGTATATCTAATACAGAAATGAAACAAAACATATAGACAACATTGAAGTCAGAGTAGGTCTTATTTGTGTCAAACACTGTTTGAAGTTAAATTGTTAATTGTCTATACATTTATTCAATTCATGTAATTTTCTTTCCATAATGACTAATCAAAACAACTGTGTACCTGACTTCCTTCCAAGATGGCATCTTCCACCTCAGTAACCTCCAACCCAAGGCCATCAGCCACAGTGGTAAGGATATAGTAATGACGTTCATCTAGTCGAGCTCTCTTCGATTCTCTCTCTTCTTTCAGCTTTTGCTGCAAAAGAAAACATAAAATTGTACATAATGACAATGAAAGAGAAATTTTCAATAACTGATGACTTGCCATGGGGAATACAATGGCTTTCCCCTCTGATTTGGCATGTCTGTGTAACTTATCAACACTCATATCTATTCCAGCAAAGATTTCAAAATTTTATCTTTTGCCTGAGACAACAAGGTCATTTAGAGCAGGTTGCTTCCTGATAAATGCCTGTCCTAAGTCAGGAGCCTGTTATTCAGTGTTTGTCATTTGTTTCTGTGTAACATATTTGTTTTTCGTTCATTATTTTGTACATAAATTAGGCCGTTAGTTTTCTCGCTTGAATTGTTTTACATTTGTCATTTCGGGGCCTTTTATAGCTGACTGCAGTATGGGCTCTCATTGTTGAAGGTTGTACGGTGACCTATAGTTGTTAATTTCTGTGTCATTTGGTCTCTTGTGGAGAGTTGTCTCATTGGCAATCATACCACATCTTCTTATTTTTATAAAGCCTTTTTTTGATAATGGGTAACACTATCAGGACAAAATGATAAATAAATAAATTATGTTAGTTTTTGAAGGTGGCCATGGAATTTAGCACCATTCTTCAAACAAAGCAAAAACTGTCATATTTACATTGAAAATAATGAAACTTTCTTTTGGACAAACACTTCAACATGGTCAAGTGAAACAATCGTGCAAAAATTGGTCAAGATTACATTTTTGATACTTTTCATCCACTTGCTATTGTACTGTACAACTTATTTCTGATTATGCAAAACATTGATTTTCTATATGAAAACTGCAAAGGTTTTCAATATAGTGTTGCAAAATAAATATTTGGTTTTAATTTGATCATAATATAGATTCACATTGATGATATAACTAAAAATACTCAATATCTACATGAACAAAGGAAAATAGTTTCGATTCTAATGAAAAAACTCTCAAATCAATTTCTGAGGAAAAAGACAGCATATAATCTACATATTATGAAGTGTTTGATCATTGAGTATTTTATGGAGAAAATAATTTTCATCAACAACAAAGACTAATCTCTATGGTAACCAATTGTTCATACCATGCAAGTAAAATCTACTTCTAAACCCTGACAATAGCAAGGTTTCTACTTTATTTCAGAATTATATCAATATCTACTTTGAACCTTGTCAATCACTTCAGGTTTCAATTATAATTAAAATTCATATTAATAAAGTTTTAAAATCTATATTGGTGACAATTAAATTCACAATAGTATTGGTATAACTGCTCGTAAAAACTTTATATTATTTTGGTCAATTAATTTAACTAAACAAATATTTTACATACAGGCCTCTCAAGATGTTTTGAGAAACCAGAAAATTTTAAAGATGTATATATAGGACAAATATGTTATGTAACCAAGCAGAACTGCAGTTTATCAAACCTCTACCTATTACCTCCCCCCTCCAGGCAGAAAAAACAAAAATCTTAAATGTCTTTGAAAATCTAACAGCCAAGCTCTTGAAGACTGACTAAGGTATCAGTTCTAAGACCATGGTAATTTGAGTTTATCCAGAGCAAGACATTTATTTTCAATGTATATTACACATATCCATACTTACAAGTTGTGACTCCCTATTGGCTTTTCCTGCCATCGATGCCATTTTGAAATCAGGACAATAAAAATCCTATTCAGGTTTATAAGATCACAAAATAGCAATAAATTAAGTCATTATAAAAAGTGCTCGATAATAAAAATCATCAAATAGATGATAAAAAGTTATTTTATTATCCCAAACAATGAATATTGTCACCGATAATTTTTTTTAATCCTTTTTTAAACGAAGCATTAAACAAACTAGCACTCCAACGTTGATATATAATGCAAATAATTTGTTCCAAGTCTACACAAAGCCCTTGTACACATATTCATTGAACAGAAAAGTTTCGCGTCAATTGAGTATACAAATAACTTTCCCGGTATCTATGTGTATTGTTTGTATTACGGTCTATCCAATACAAACTGATGGAAGGACTTTAGATAAGGGTCTCCGTTATATCAATTTCATAAAAACCTTTCTTTATTTTAAATCTAACTTGTTCTAACAGATCAATAATTAAAAGAGTTTGTTGTTTTAAGTATTTCCTTTTTACTTATCTAAGTACAATAGGCACTCATTGATCTTAACACGCTTGGTCAATCAGAAATTTAAAAAACTGATTAAACCATGCCATAATAAAATTCAATTTTAGAGTGAAAGATATGGGTGGCTTTTCTAATAAGCTGATTAAATTGATCTATTTTTATACATTTACTTTTATAATTTTATAACAAATACTTTTCAGCAATTAAGTTTTATTTCAATTCAATTTTGATATTTACTTTTAATTTAAGGTGGTATGGGAGTATAAACAAAAGATGATTTGTTCATACTTTGCCAAAATGTAGTAACATTGTGATAGGTTATAACAATAAAAATGTTAGGTCAACAAGCTTGTTTTCAACTACAGGTTGTGAAAAATTATAACAATTTTAGTATAAATTTTACAGAGAAAAAGCATCATTATGTGAATAGTAATTCATCAACCAAAATCCCTAAAAGCCCTTGAAAAGGCAAGGGTGTCACTCACGAAATAGAAGCTCCATCATAATATAAGTTCCAAGTGGAAGAAATATTCTGTAATATTATTTCCAAATGGAACAAATATTACAGTATTTGTTCCTTATGGAATAAAGGGTATAGAATATTTGTTCCAACAGGAACAGATATTATGACATTGTTTATCACAAAGTTTCCAAGGGAACTTCTGTTAGGCAGAACAAATATGCATTGACATTAAGGGAACAGTGTTTTTTTTTTTGCTGTCAAATTTTTTATTCCCGCAGTTTGATATTTCTGGCAAGGCTTTCAATACACACATGTCTCAGAATGCTAATCTAATTTTGCTTTAGACAAAAATGTGTAAAGTAATATATGTAATGTTGAACTTTTCACTCCTTTTATCATATCTTAATTATAATATGTTTACATGCCTCATGAAGCAAGAACTTTTCTTAACTACCAACTTAACCACAGATCATGTATATATGTAACAAAGTTATTCTAGAAAGTTAACTCAAAAATTGTAAAAGGGGAAGTAACTCAATTTTCACTAAAACCACAATCATCTTTTTGCATTGCAAATAGATGCAACCCCCAAAAAACCAGATATGTTAATTCTTTATAATTGATTCCTTTATTTACATGTTAAGCATGGGATTCTTAATAAGATTAAAATAATCTGTGTTGTAACATATAATTATTAATAACTATTTAAATCCTTATATTTGGCTTTAGAACCCTATTTTTTAAGGTATGTATGCACCTGCAATCTTAAGCTGTAACAGTAATCTAATTTTGCATTTGAAATAAATACAAACAGACCTAGTCAATAGGCACCTCTAAAATACAATCAGCTATTTATAACATGTAGTCCAGTATTGCCAGGACATATTTACCAATATAACCACCCATAATTAGCTGGCACTGACCAATGCACAGGGAGCAATATCATTCAAACTGCGGAGATTTATTTTAAAACTAATCTAACATGGACATATGTGATTTGTTACAAGGCCAACTTTCATTGTATATAAAATAAGAAGATGTGGTATGATTGCCAATTAGACAACTTTCCAACAGTGTCAAATGACATGGATTTAAATTCTATTTGATTTCTATAAATCTTGGAAATAAATTATTAAAAAAAAACATTTTTTTTTAATTACGTCTATTTTGCTGTGTGTCAAACTGTTGTCATTTGTATTTTAGTGAATGTACTTTCTGTAACTGAATAGCTTCTGAGGCTATAAAGTATACCCCCTTGTGTAAAGATTAAATGTTGAAATACATTTAATTTTACATAGAGACCTACTAAACAACTTTTGAATAATTCACAAAAATTCTGGCAAAATTTGTTTAAAAATATGAACAGGTTTGCTACCCTGTAGCCAAATGTCCCCAGCTCTGAATTAACGAGGAATCAAATTGGGTCTCACAATGTTTTATTGTGGTACGATAGTCAAAATATGGTCAAAACACAATTACGCCTTTTTGTGTTTTTTATGTCTTTTTGTTTTTGCTCACACGTTGTTGTCAATATAATGGAATTCTATGCAATTGTCATACAAGTGAAAAGGTTTAGCAAGCAATAAAACCAGGTTTAAGCCACCATTTTTTACAAAAGGAAATACCTGTACCAAGTCAGGAATATGACAGTTGTTTTCCATTCTTTTGATGTGTTTGAGCTTTTGATTTTGCCATTTGAGAAGGGACTTTCCGTTTTGAATTTTCCTTAGAGATGGGTATTTTTGTTATTTTACTTTTTACAACAAATATTGTCAACTACCTATGATGGCAAACAATCCTATCAAGTATGAGAGCATTCTGTCAAATGGTGTCAGCGGAGTTGCATTTACAAGGTGTTATTGGTTGTTGTTTTGTAGGATATGTGAATCAGAGGATCAAAACAACTTTTTAAATGGATCTGCCACTGCTTAAGTATATATAGAACTATATATAGTACTTACAAGTCTTTCCAAAGTCATGTGATAGTGCCGTACATGTTTGTAACTCTGCAGAAATGTCACCTTATTGGTTGACATGTTGCACCTTCTTAATTCCACATTTTGATCAAAATTTGTTCCATCAACTTTTATAAAACAATTTAGAGTAAATCGACTTTTCTTAATTTGCCTCTTTTAACTAACAGTGCATCAGCAAAATGCTTAATATTCAGAGCACAAATATAAGATCCATATACCATATTTAAAGTCCAAAGATTTTAGCACAAGTTTCTAGTACATCTTACTATACCAAACACAAAGTATAGCACTTAACTAAGATCCCTATGCAACTCCAACATAGACGACATTAAATAAAAATACCAAGAACTTTATGACAATAATTCAAGTTTGCAAATAAAATCTACAAAATTATACCATGATTAAATAGTTTCCATGGCAATTAATATGCAATATCTCAAAATTATAC